ATCTGCGTTCCAATGGTATATAATTCCCATTTCCAGTTTCTGGTCATGAAAGACTTCAAAGATTACAGACTTTAAACTTGTCATAGATGAAGGATTGAATATTGGATTTCAGACCCTTGTATTGTTGAGTAAAGAAGAAAATATTTTGCCGTAGCATCGATTTCTTGTTTTAGATTGTAGCTGTTCGATATTACCAGTTTGGAGTGTTAAGATAATACTCAGAAAGATGTAGCGGTGGAAAGATAATAGATGAAACAGCTGAAGGAACATAATAAATGTAAGTTGTTATCACTCTTAGCAGTTTATCATACAGTGTTCCCAGAATATTAAGCATCAAAATACACTGGTGTAGACGTAGTAAAGTTTTCAGTTTTTATTGTGTTCCAATGACAAATAATTGCCTTGTTCTTTTGTTTATGGTAGGAGTACCTGTCTCAAACACTGATTCTCCACCAGGATGCCAGCATACCCTAGGGTGCCACAAAATCATTTTAAGGATGTCATGGGATGCTGCACAATATTAGTACTTAAGTGTACAAACACTTGCACAGGATTCACTAGATAAACCCAGAGATTACAAATAAGAATCTAGTGTCAAAAACATTTCTGACCTGCTATTTTCTTTCTTTGTTCTTCACTTATTATTTTTCCAGTGTCAAAAAACAAGTGAAAGCAAAGAGCTAGTATTTCCCAAGGGATGCCTTCAATTGTTTGATGGGTGTCTGGAGTCTAAAAAGCTTGAGAACCACTGGTCTAGAATAATTTCATAATTCACCTAATTAGAAATGGATTTTTTTCATAGCTTATTGTTTTCTGTTACTTGCATATTTAGCAATCCTCTTTTCAAAAATATTCTTCTGGCCACTCCTGCTCTTCAAATTGTCACGGTTTTTTTAGAGAGAATAATACTTCTTCATAGTTCCTGTGTGCACTAGCATGCATGCAGATCTGAAACCTGTGCTCCTCTGTTCGCAGCTTGCATAATATCAAATTTAGAGATTGCTTGTCAAACTAAATGTTGGCTGAGTTTCCTAGGAAACTCACGAAGATTATTTATAAAACTAACGATAGGCATAATAATAGATATAATAGTGTCAGTAGCTCGTGATTATTATTTTTTTAACTTTACCAATCCAATTGCTTTATGTTCTTTAATTTTCCAGGGAGCTAAGCCAATTAATTTACAAACATTTTCATATATTATCAGCATTCCCAGCAGTCCATTCCTAACATGTGATGGAGTCAGTTGTTCTTATGAAATCTCATGCCTCTGAACCAGTTAGTCTCTAAGGTGCAACCCTGTTCTGCTTTCTGTCAGAGAAACATGGGAGTTTACATGTTGAATCCACCCGACGTTTACCATCCTGTCGCTGAGAGTAGCCAGAACCAAGTTTCTTCAGGTATGAGGAGCCTACAATAGGCAGATGTGACATAACTTGCTCCCTCTGAAGGTTTTTGTTATCCCTAGTAGTAGCAGCCTTACTGGAGGGCAAACCAGGCGACTGCCCAGAACCCCACACTTTATAAAAATAAAAATTAATTACACTGAATATTTGTATTATCAATATTGTATTAAGATACTTTCACTGCAGGTTCATGGATAGGGCGAAGTGAAATTGAAATAAAAAAATGTCCGACCTGCTTATAGATCATCAAAATTCAGCCTCTAAAAAATGGCTCTCTTGCCCAGGGCCCCAACAACCTTAAGGCCACCACTGTTAGTGATTTTCTTAAATTTAGGTGCAGGGCATTGCATCCCTTCCCAAATTTGTATTAGTGTTTTATCAAATAATTATGAATATTCTTATCTGTAGAAATGCCCAGCTGAATCATGCTAAGTTATTGGCCTCAGTAAAACCCTGTGGCAGAGTGCCACAGTCAAATTGTCATGTGTAGAAAAAAGTGTTACTTTTGGTCAGTTTTGAATTTCAAGTTAATTGAACGTCTTCATTTTCTTGTGTCATGAGATAAGGAGAACAGAAGCTCATGATCTACATTCTCTGTACAAGTCACTCTTTTATATACTTTAACATGTTCCCCACTTCTTCCCCATCTACATTTAGGGTAAATAGTCCCCAACTTTTCAGCCCCTCCCCAGATGAAAATTTTCCCATGTTCCTAATTACTCTCCCAATCCTTGCCTGAACCTCCTCTGATTTGAGATGATTTGACCCACAGTGCATGCAGGAATGCAGATGAAGATGTAACGCTGATTTTCAGATAATGGTGAATGATATTTTTTATGTTATTCACCATTCCATTGCATATGCAATTTTGTTTTTTAGACTGCAGCTGCCCGATGAACAGAAGAATTCATAGACATTTCCACAGTAATGGCTGGGCCCCTTTTTGTGATGATATGCCTACTTTCAGAACCCTAGAAAGTATAAAAGTAGCTCAGGTTGTTTCCATCTACTGTGAATTACTGGAAATTGGAACATTGTCAGCCATGTTGCTCATCATCTGTCTGGATTAGGCTCCTCTGAATTCTTCACAACCTTTTCTGGGCTTGACTACCCAAAGTGATTCTGTGTCATCTGCAAATTTTGCTACCTTAATGCTCACCTTCATTTCCAGATCTTTAATGAATTTGTTTAACACAACTTAAATCAAACTTTAAAACCTGGAATAAGAACCAGAGATTCAGGAACTCGACTTGAATGACCAGCATAGGCTGAGTCATTGCCTGTCAGCAGAATAATCAAGAGAAAACTCGACAGGGAGGTGTGGTTCATTTGTTTGATTTTTTTTTTCTTTTTTTCTTTCCCTCCTGCTCCTCTGTTTCCTCTGAGTCTCTCCTGCTGACCTTAGCTAAACATTTTGCTGATAATGTATATCAGTTTTTTAAAAATCTAGCTTGCTCTCAAATAGCATTGACTGCAGGGATAATAGTAGGAGAAGCAGTAAAAATTTAATCACTTACCTCCATGCTCATTAAAGTGAATCAATTGAGAGCAGATAAGGCTATTTCAGGGTAGTTGTAGCTGCTATAATTAAATATATGTGATAAACATGAGTTTGCAGGATTCATATCTAAAGGCATGGGAAGTTTATGTTGGGTTTGAGTTTTAATTTGTCATTATTTTGCAATTATACTCTCTTTATATAGGATTAGATAGTGATATCATAAACACTAAGCTGTGTCCTCATACTGGGATAATTCAAAAGGAAAAGTGGGGGTTATGAAAGAGAATACTCATTTAAAAATCAAATATCTGAAGTTATAGCAGTGGAAAAAACAATCAAAAGTAACATTTTATATATTGTATTTTTTCCCTTTAAATTTGTCTCCGTGGGAAACTGTTTTGAGCATTACATACAAGCTTTGGCAGGGTGGTTTTTTTGCAAGCAGTCAGTGTGTGTGAACCCACTTGTTTAACAGTGAGTCACACTGAAAGTCAAGAGTTCACCATTTTTTCCAGTTTCCCACTGCAATGAAATATATTCCACAGGCACACCCTTAAAAATTAGGAAAGGAGGGGGGATTTTCCAGTTAATAACGAAACCTTGATTACATTATAGTATGTTGAACCATTCAATGAGGGATCCCTGCCAAAGGATGCACACCCAATAACCAGCTAGAAATTAAAGAAAGAAGTCATTTAGGCAGTCCCTGAAAATAAGATATCTAGGCTCAAATAAGCGAATTTAAAAATCCATAGAACAGGGATATTCAAAGGGCAGGAGAGAAACCTACATATTGTAATTACTTGTATAAATTCCAAGTCATATTATTATCATATGCTCATCTCCTTATGTTATAAAACACTCTTTGTACATTAGTAAAAATTAAAATAATTTTAGAAGTTATGTGGTAAAATTAGTCATTCGCTTTTTTGATGTTTCTAGTGCTTCTTTACTTGTACTGTATGTGTTTTACTCAGCAGGAAAATGCAAATAAACAGTATAGTTTCATTTCAATTTCCAGTCAGTTTTGCTCTCCAGTTGTGTTTTCATGTGTCCATTGCAAATACAGTAGGGAATTGTTTGAATCTGAAGCTGCATGTGTGTTAATGAAAAATTCAGTTAACATTATTCTACACTTCTTTTATAGAATAAACCCGTTCTTCCACCTGTTTTAACCAACATGCAAATTTTAGATCTAAACAGTGCTGCACACAAATACATAATATCCTGTCAAATTGTGTAGATGTATAGGTTGTTTGCAAAATCCTTATTTGCCTTTATCCTATTTGGTTGTTCCCAAGTGTTGTCACTGTGTATCAATAGGAAGTATTACCATATTTTCTTACATACAGCATGGCCCAGAATAAGACGAGCAACTTGTTTTTGAAAGGCAGAAAGGGAAAAGGTTTTTCCAGGATGATGGCTGCATAGAGCAGGGACAGGGCCTAGACTTTAGCTGATTTACACTCCCTTTCTTGCTCAGCTAAGATTGAAGTATTAGGTACTGCTGAAGACTGGTCTGCATGGGTAGTCTAAGATTGTGAAAAGAGCTAAAGAGTCTCCATGGCTGTGAAATAGGAGAAGAGAGACCAGAAGGAGCTAGCAGACAGCAAAACTGCCCAAAGAAACTAGTGAGCTAGTTGATTGGTGGAACATTAAAAAGGAGAGACGATCCTTAACACCTGCTAAATAAAGAAAAATGATCCATTAAGTCTGTTGACTCCCTGAACTGCCTATATACTAATTCCACTACTGCTGCTGCCCTATGGAACAGGAATCAAGGCGAGGTGCTTCTCCTTCAGGAAAAAAATCAGCTTCCTCCTTAAGATGCACAGCACAATTTGGGGGGGCTTATTTCTTGGGGAAAGGTATATATGGTATGTGAAGTATTAAGGTATACTGAAGCAAGGACTGGTTAATAAGAAGTTGGGTACAGAATACATATACTCAGTGAAGGTAAATTATTTAGGTTTTAAACATGAATCTGTCCTGCATTAAATGTGTAGAGTCTAAAACTTGAAAAGGTCACAAAAATTATATTGTATAGTATTCAAGATTTTGCATGACTAATTGGAGCTGTGTTTTTCTTCTAGCTTTCTAGAAAGAATTGACAGTGTCAGTATGGAAGACTACACACCCACAGATCAGGTGAGTAAAACTGAAGGTGTTATGTTCAATACTGCAGTAATATAGCTAGCACTATAATATTCCATCTCAAGCAGGATAGAGGATTGGCTGCAGAAGAGAGGGCTTTAAACTGGGTTTAACAGGGGATGGAGACAAAAGGCCCCTGATAAATAAAGAGCAAGGTAATTTGGATAAATGCTTCTTATGAAATGGATTCATCATAAGGCATCTTAACAAATCTATAAGAGATACCTGAAGTGTTTATATACTAATGTAAGGCATAGGGGAATAAGCAGGGAGAACTGGAAGTCCTAATATGCACGCAACCTTGCGACCTAATTGAGATTACTGAGATTTCATGGGATTATTCACACAACTGGAAGATTGATATGGATGAGTACAACTTGTTTAGGAAGAAAATATAGCCAGTGTATGAGGAAAAGAAAGGTAGCATACAAGGTGAACAGCACTTTAAAATAACTAATTATCCCAATTACCTGACCTGGTGCTTACTGTGGACTTTAATTACTGTGATACCTGCTAGGACAGTAACAGTGTGTTATCAGTCCAATAAATTTTTGGTATAGACAGTGGAAAAAACACTGGAGAGAGACTTGATTTGCTGCTTAGTAGTAACAAGGAAGTGCATGAGAGCCAAAAAGTGGAAGGCAAGTTGCATGCCATTTATCAGGAAATCATGAAATGATAAGAGTTCATGTTAAGAGAGAAAGGAAGGAGGGAAGGAAAGAAGGAATTCAGACAAGCAAATTGTATGAAGTTCACAGAACTGGTGGACAGGAACCCATGGGAAGCAAGTCTAAGGGAAGACAGGAGAGAAGGTTGTTCTTTATAAGACGGTATTAAGAGCACAAAAGGATGCAATCCTGATGTGAAAGAAAGCTAGAAAGAAAGCAGAAGCCCTGCTTGGCTACACAGCTCTTCAATGACTTGAAACTCAGAAAGCAATCTTACAGAAAATGGAAAATGGCCATTTTACGAAAGAAATGCATAAGGGTATATAAGGACAAAATCAGGAAAGCCAAGACATAAATTGAGGTACAGCTAGCAAGATACATTAAAAGCAACAACAACAAAATTTTTAATAAATGCTTTGAAATAGAAAGAAGGCCAAAGAAAGTTTATGTCTTTTACTGAACAAGGAGGAGAAGCTAATAATGGACAGTGTAAAGAGGGCTTTGGTATTTAATGGGTTTTTTTTTACTTCAGTCTTGACAAAAAAGGTCCACTGTCAGCTGACAAGCACAGTTACCAGCAAGGATAATGACCTTAGTGGGGGGAAGAACAGGTTAGAGATTACCTAAAGGAGGTAGATGTTTTAAAATCATCAGGGCCTGATGAGATTCATCCTAAAGTATTCAAGAAGTTTGCGGAAGTAATTGCAAAAATGGCTATTATTTGTGGAAACTCATACAGGTCAGGCTGGGTTCCAGGAGCCTGGGAAAAGGCAAGTACAGTGCCTGTATTTAAAAAGGAAAATGGGAGGTTCTGTGGAGTTAAACTGGTCAGCCTAACTACAGTACTTGGAAAAATACTGGAGCATATCATACCACAGCTTTAGCAAGTACTTTGATACAGTCTCCCACAACACTATCATGCATAAGCAAAGGAAATGCAGTTTGAAGCAGGGATAAAATATGGCCTGTAAGCTGGATCCAGCTCAGGGAGCTTTCCACGGGTCTGGAAATTTGGTGGCATGGCATGTGGTAACAGTGTTAATTGTCTCAGCTCCCAGGGCCACAGAAATTAACGTTGCTGCACTCATCTACTGCCAAATTTCTGGACCTATGGGGAGTCCCACAGGCTAGATCCAGAGTGTGGAGCTGTGTCATTTGGCCCTGTAGGTCCGAATGTTGGTGGCAGGAGGACCAGCAACTGCTCAGGGCTGGATGTTGGGTATCACTCTTCTCTGTGAAAGTGTGGTAAGGTGACACAATAGACAGCAGGCAAGTTGGAGCTTGATAAGTTGGGAAAATGGTCTAAAATAAACAGAATTAAATGCAATCAGGAAAAAAGTACTATGCTGATGAAAGAGCAACCAAATGCACAAATACAAAACATGGAACAACTGGCTAGGCTACACTGCTATAAAGAAAGACTTGAGGAGATACAGTGGACTGCTGGCTGAATATAAATAAACCATGCAGGACTGAAAAAGGCTAATTCATAGCAGTGTCATGTACAAGTGACAGAAAGTAATTTTTCTACTCTGTTCCCCACTCTGGAGGCCTCACCTGGAGTACGTACAGTGTTTTAGACACTGCACTTTCAGGAAGACGTGGGCAAATTAGAGAGTCCAAAAGAGGCAGCAAATATGGAGCAAAAAATATGACATGAGGATAGATTAGAAGAATTGGGATGATTTAGTCTGGAAAAAGGAAAAAATGGTAGGTGATTTGATAACAATTTTCAAATGCAAAAAGTGTTGTACAGAGGATGATGATCCATTGTTCTCTTTGTCCACAGAGGAAAGGACAAGTAAAGAGGCATTAGGATGGACACTCGGAAGAATTTTCTGATTATTAAAACAGTCAAGAATTAGAATAGATCAACAAGAGAGATTATGGAATTGCATCACTGAAAGTTTTTAAGTGCAAATTAGACAAGCCTTTGTCCATGGTGGTTTAGACAAGGATGATCCTGCCTGATCAGGTGCTTGGTCTAGATCAGGGGTGCTCAACCTCTGACCCAGGGACTAAATGTGGCCCACAGAGCCATTGCATCTGGCCTGCAGATCTCCCCACAGGTCAGAAAATTGGGCAGTGGGGGAGCAGTGGCCATTAATACAGCCACCCTCCCCACTGCCAAATTCCCAGACCCCAGGCTTCATGTGGTAGCTGTGCCCCCTCTTCTCACCCCCTACCAGAGCCAGGCCATGTCCAGTTCCCCCCTAGGGCTGGATCGGGGTCGGGCCATGCCCCCTTCTTCCCTCCCCCCAGCAATTGAACCAGGGTTAAGCCATGCCCCCTTTCCCTCCCACAGGGATGGGTTAGGCCATGCCCCCTCCTCCCTCTGCAGCTGGATCGGGGTAGGGCCTTGCCCTTTTTCCCCACCACAGGCCTTGGTTGGGGCTGGGCCATGCACCCTCCCCTTCCCCAATGTCTGGATCAGGGCTAAGCAATGTTCCCTCCCCCTGAAGGGCCAGGTTGGATCCAGGTCAAGCCCCGTTTCTACCCTGTAGGCCTGGGTTGTGGCCAGGTTGTCCCCCACCCCTGTCCACATGGCCCTAGGGCAGGTTGCGTCCACCCTGGGCTCCAGATTGGGTCCACCAGCCAGATCCAGCCCACAGATGGACCAGGCACTGCCAATCTGACCTGTTGGGCAAAAAGGTTGAACACCACTGAACTGAGACACTCCCAGCCCTGTTTTTTCTATAACTTGAGACTCACTGCCTTTCTGTATATAGAAAAGCCAGAGATCTGCAAGGGCTTCCTATAAAAGAATGCAAGATGAAGCAGCTGAGGTGGTAGCCTGCCCAGTGTATTTGTTCATTGAGTGCTGCTTTGCTGAGACAGAAGACTGCTAGAAAGGATGCCTTGTATCCTTCCCCTCCCTCCCAACTATCACATATACATGTTACCTATGGAAAAATACTAACTTAGGCTTTGTGTAAGAGATTAGCCATAGACCACTGACAGCCATTCATTTCTACCAGTAGAAATCCTCTGAATGTCTCTGAAATCCAAGCTAGGTAGTGTGTGTGGGTGGCAATGTCATGAACTCAAGCCAGGAAAGCCCTCCCCACCCCAGTTCCTAGCCCTGCAGGCTTTGCCACCTGACGAGGGAGCAGCAGTGCAACCCCCCCAACACACACACACACACGCATGCACGCACGCACACACACACACACACACACTCTCTCTCTCTCTCGCGCTCGCTCTCTCTCTCGCGCTCGCTCTCTCTCGCGCTCTCTCTCGCACTCTCTCTCTTCCGCTTACTCTTCAAACCGGGAGCCCCAGTCTGGGGAACAGGCAGAGACCAGAATCAGCTGTTCCTCCACCCTGCTCACTGGGAGCAAAGTGGAAAAAATAACAAGGAACAAACCTCCTGCCCCCCAGCCTGGGACTGGTCTGGGAGCAGCTTGAGAGGCTTTGCCCTGCTGCTTGAGTCATATCCCAGACCAGATTAGAGGAAAGCATACTGGCGTTTGTTGTTGTGAGAGTTTCTCTAACAGGAGATGGTTGACACCTGGAAGACCTTTCTTTTGGGGGAGGCATGTTTCCCTCAGAGAAATTGAATGAACTCTTGTATGCTCATAATTTCTACTGGGAGGGCAGCAAATCTCCCAGTAGAAACATAATGCCTGTATGTGGCCATAGTTTTACTTTGAGTCATAGCTGCAGCCTGTAGGTTATTGTATCTTTTGCACCACTGTGATGTTGAAACAAGTACTTCTGTATTTCCAGCTAGACCTGAACACTTTGGATTAAATAATGTCTGTACACAAATGCATCTTTTATAAACTTGCAGTCTAGGATCAAACTTATTTGTCAGTAGCTCCTGGAGCAACGTTAAGCCTGTTGTCCCTTTTATGCAATCTTTTAATTCTGTTTTCTTAAGTTACCCGTTTTCATGTCAGTTTCACAATTTTTTTCCAAATGCCTTGATGCTACCTCTATTCAGCCCTGTAATGACAATGCTTAAAGTATTTGTGCTAACTTTGATTGCAATGCTACCATATTAGGATGAAGCCCTTGTCTGTGGCACCACATATGGCAAGGGTATGTTGATGATCCTGTAGTCAGAATGGCTGTCCATTCAGAAAGCTTCTCTCCTATGTAAACTGCTTCTCATATTAGCCATTTTCATTATATGTATTATAGTAATGGCTAGAAGCCCCAACTGTGATTAAGGGTCCCATTACATTAAGTTGGACATAAAGGTAGTAAAAAGAGAGTGCCTGCCTGTTCAGAAAAGCTCACAATCCAAATACATGCAGGGAGTGGAAGGTGGAAAGTATGGGCACATTTTACAGATGCGTAACTGAGGTGCAGAGAGATTTAAGTTACTTGCCAGAGATCATACAGGTAGTCTGTAGCAAAACGAGGAATAGAATTCAGGCCTCCCAAGTTACCAGTCCAGTGCTGAACCACAAAACCATAGGGATGCTCTGTAAGGCCATGTCCACACAAGCATGGATGTTTGCTTCCCCGGGGACAACTATCAGCAGGACACCTTGTGCTGCTGCTACTTGTCCCTGGGGAACACTTGTGCTGCACGCCCTCTGGGTTACCCCGGGGTGGGGTAGGGAAGGCTGGGGCCAGCAACTGTGCTGGCCCTAGCAACTTTACCTGGGGTCCCAGGGGCCTCCTGGGGCTGCAGCAGCGGTGATCCTGCTGCTCGGAGCCTGGCTGGCAGCCAAAGTGGGGCTGCCCTGTGTACACCACTCTTTGTTTGCGGGGGGGTTTGTGTGGGGGTTTTTGTGACCCCTGGATATCCAGGAGTCAAAAAAACCCCTCACACTGCTCCCTTGCAGTGTGGAGAACAGCTGCATGTGCAGTATGTGGCACCGCAGACATGTCTGTAGCACCACATAGCGCGTAGCTGCACTTGTCTGGATGCGGCAAAATTCCTGAAATACGAGATAGTGAAAAGTAATTCTTCATTCTGGTATTTATAAACAATATTTGCGAGGTAAAAATCAAAGGGAAAAATGAGTACAAAGTAGGAATGGGATATGTCAACAACCCGTTATTAACACTGTCTGAGAAAATGGTGATTTTGGACTTGGAAATGCTTGTTTCAGAGAACATTAGCCTTAGTAAGACATATCTGATCAGTCCTTAGAATCATGACCTGACATCTACCTCAAGATTCCTCTCACCACTGGAGAAAAATGGGACAACACACATCTTCCTCTTTGGTTTCAGTGTCTTTACATACTTAAGCCCATTTGTTCCTCTTGAGCTTCTCTCTATAGGTGCAGTCAGTGCCAGTAAGTTTATTGTTGGTGAAAGGGATAAGGAACTCCCTACTAACACCTCCTAAAATTTTCTCCTGTGTAAAGGAGTCTTGGGTCCATTTTGTCTGAGAGGTTCTTACCTCCACTCTTGCAGCAGTTCTTTGATATGTATCACGAAGAAAACGTTTGTGCTAACAAAGCATCTTTTTCTGTTTCCCATGAAAAGATGCCTAGCTTTGGTTGAGAAGGAACCATTCAAAATAACTATTTTCTTTCTCGTTCTTGCAGACATCAGGCATTTTTTGTCAATAGGCCAGAATAATAACAGAACTCAAAAATATTCCAAAGTTGGATTTGTGCTACTTAGCACAGTGCCTGATTTATTGGTGGAACTGCCTGGTAACAACTGTGGCAACTCTAGTGATGGGGGATGAGTATAGAGAATTGAGATAGGATGATTTCAGGACATGGTCCCAATGTTTCCCTTTTTCAGCTTCCTGGGGAGGAATGGGACATCTCAGCTTTTTTATTTGGGGGGTGGGAACACACACACACACAGACACACACGCACACGCGCGCACACACACACGTCATAAAATTTCCATCACACCTCAAACCACATTAAGAAACCCACCCACCTGTTCCAATAAACTCACCCGCTTCCTTGCACCCTCGCACACCCACCCACTGCCTTTCCCTAACCCAATCACAGTTCCTTAGTTCAAGCCCCGGTTGGGGTTTACAGTCTCAGTTCATTCACAATCCTTGTCGCCATCGATGTCACTGTCACTTCTGCTGATGATGATCCTGTTGTCCTTCTTGCTGTCTCCAGGTCCAGTTGCCTCACTGTCCTCTCTGCTTTCTTTTTCCACTTCCGCTCCCTGGGGGTCTTTGAACAGCCTGTGCCACATGTCCCTTTTCCAGGTGGAGTTTGCTGCATTTTCTCCATCCTCTCCCACCAACTTCCAGTAGTAGGACTGGAGTTCAAATGGACTTAGAGCTCTCTTAGCTCACAAAAGTTTGCTGGGCTCTGTCGTACAGCCTCCCAACTCCAGAAGCTCATCCCACTTTCTTAGGGTAACCTATAGGGGACAGGAACTTCCACTACTCCCAGGAGGGAAAAGCAGAAGGGGAGGAAAAATGAAGATGGGGAGAAAAAGTTTTCACTCCAATCCTAAGAAAGCATCCTTCTGCTGCTGCCAGCAAATACAGTTATTCGAGTGGTTGAAAACATAGAAGTCTGTGCAGCAGTGCTGAAGATTCAGGGTTCACCTTGATGATGATGCAGGGTGAGGGGGTTACATTAGAAATTACATTAGAAAGTCAAAACACAGACAATGACAGATTGACAGTTGTGCATGCAACCTGATTTGTTTCCTTCTGCATTATGATAAAAGCTTCAATTATTTGGTCATATACTATGTTTTCCATAGGACACCTGGCTCATTCCATGCACAAAGAGACAGAACTAAAGTTACCCAGGCAGTTTTCTAACTTTTGAGTGCTTGACTTTGTTGCTCACATAATACATTTAATATCTTTTATGTAAATTAATTACATTATCCACATCACAGATTTCAGAAAAATGTTTAAAAGTCTATATATCTGATGTCCCCCTGCTTCTGCATATTCAAGATTCTGGTCAGATTTAGTTATAGTATTTTATTCTTCTATCAACTGTATTTATCATAAACATATACATGCTTATACACTGGTCAGATTTTATGTTAATTAAATTAAGCATGAAAGGTTTTAATCTAAAGAATTAGTTGTACTTGTTAAGAAAGGATGCAAAAATGCTATTGATTTTTTTTCTATTTTCTTATTCCAGGACCTTTTAAGATGCAGAGTTTTGACATCAGGGATTTTCGAAACAAGATTTCAAGTAGATAAAGTAAATTTTCAGTAAGTGCATTAGTAATAAATTATGATTACCGAATCACACTAGTTCTGGAACATCTGATTCAGATGTTTCACCTCATCCTTTATATTGTAGGCATGGTATTTCTTACAGCTTTTGTCTTCATAGGACATAATATAACTGGCTTTTACTCAGAGAGGGCAGAAATTGATAGAAGCATCTCCTGATGTTTTGGGGTTGAGCTGTTATTTCTTATTAATTCACTGTTAATGTTTACTTCCTTTCTCTGGGCAACAGCCTGCAGACTCTAGGAATAATATTTACATGAGTAAGCGTTTGTATAGTTGGGCCCAAAGAATTAAACATGCTCCTTCTTCTGGAGAATCATGGTCCCTGGAGTTTGAGTATTTATGTTGCATCTCAGTGGTTTTCAACCTTTTTTCATTGCAGACACCTAGAAAAATTTGAGTGGAGGTGCAGCCCCCTTGGAATTGTAAATGTGGGTATTCACATACTTTTGATTGATCATAGTCATTTTTTCGCAGACCTCTTAAACATAGTCTGCGGACCCTCAAGGGTCCGTGACCACAGGTTGAAAACCACTGTTGTATCTCTATTAAAGTGTATATAGTTTTCTACATACTCCTCATTGGGCTTATACTGTATATAGTATAAAATAATATTATTTTAGAGCAAATAAGTGTGTCAACATGGCTTGGGCAAGAATTTTACCTGGATGCTTCCATTTATTGGACAGGTACCACTAAATTTTGTAATCTGAAAGCCATGTCTGTTGGATTGTGGTATATCTAAGCACATTGTCAGGCTATTTAAACCCAACCACAAGTTGTTCTAAAGGCTTAAAAATCTACCATCTTCGTAAGAAGAGTTTCGTTTTCTTTAGGAATTCAGTACAATGCGCTGTGCAAGACAGAGCAGATTGAATTTTACATCTTGATGACGCTGAACACAGTTTCAGGAACCCCCTTTCTCTTCAGGGAACATTTTATTGCTGATGTTCTCCTTGAAGCTGTCAGACTTTTTAAATTGCACGCTTCATGTGACTTTCCCAGTGCACCCAAGTGATATAACATCCTATGGCTTTTTAACAGCATGTTTGATGTAGGTGGCCAGAGAGATGAAAGAAGAAAATGGATTCAGTGTTTTAATGGTGAGTAATTTCTCAGTTCTGCACCACATTTGTAATCTGTATTTATTTTCTACTACGAGTTTTTTAATTTTTTTCTTATTTTTCACTTACACTGAACTTAAACAAATCGGTCCCATTAAAATGTAAGTGCTTTTAATTACTTTATCAGTTTGGTGCTCCTTCTTCACTTTTACATTTCTTTATTGAAATGATGTTTAAAATAAAAACCTCATTTACATGAACAGATTAAAATGGCATGTGTTTTAATAGCAAAACCCAATATCACAAATATTTCTTCAACTCTGTGTTATAATATATATTTTGGAGAAGTCTGGGGAGCCATTGTGTGGTTGTGTTGAAGTATTACCCTGCTGAGTTTGTTTGGGGTAACTAAAACATTTTGCGGTCTCTCTCTTTTCTTTTGTGTGTCCCCAAGATGTCACAGCTATCATTTTTGTTGTGGCCTGTAGCAGCTACAACATGGTAATAAGGGAAGATAATAACACAAACAGACTACGGGAATCTCTGGACCTCTTCAAAAGTATCTGGAATAATAGGTAATTATTAAACCTCTTGGAAATGGTTACCTTAATTTAGTCACTAGGAAAATTGGTAGTTAGCACTTCATTTTTCTAAGCATTCTTCAAACTTTAATTGGTTAAACAGTAAGATAAATTAAAAGCAAATATATATCAGTAGCTCTCTAGTGCAGTTACATATATTTAAATTAAACTACCTTTCCTTACCATATTAACATTTGACAGATAAATATTTAAAATAAAACAGCCAGTGTACAGGTACACAATGGAATACAGTGATACCTTGCTTATGAATAGGCCCCATTGCCAAGTACTTAGATTTGTTGTTTAGCAGTACTGTTACCATATTTGTAAGTGATAAACTTGCTAACCAAATAACAGTTTGAATAGAGACCTAATTCAGAATAAGGGCAGCATTGTCAAAATGATGTGCAGTGTAAGATAATGAAAATTATAAGGAAATGTCCATCATTATGCTGTACAACATGCAGTGATTTCCAGATGCAATAAGGAAGGATTTTAAGCACAAATACCTGTGGTTCAGTGTCTCAAAAAATGGCCTGGACATTATTAGCACAAATGTGGGTTAGGCATCATACTCACTTGCCTCAGGCCACTGTAAGATGTAGGATACTAGTATGTTTGAACTATTAGTCATTTCAAATACAGCTGTTAGAAAAAATGTACAGAAAGAGTAAGTGATCTCCAATATTTCTCCATTGCTTTACAAGAACTACATGCATACTCACCCATTAGAAAACTCTAGTATTTATTGTCTGAGTATAATGATTTTAGAAAGTGCTAGCAATTTTATGCCTCGCATAAGTGTTTCCTATCTTGACATCAGTGAGTTAATCAAGAAAACCCTTTTAACTTGTTTCTTTCACCAGTGTCTAACATGTATTTTTAAAAGTTTATTAACCAGTGCAGGTGTGAGTTGAAAATAACTGAAATATTAGTTTACTTCACTTATTTTTCTTTTAAGATTAACTAGACTACACACAAAATCATCAGCTACAGAGATTTCTGTTGATGTGAAATGCTTGCATGATAAATGCACTGCAAATAGCACCAACATCTGGTTTGTTTTTGACAGGTGGCTACGGACCATTTCTATCATTTTATTCTTGAACAAACAGGACATGTTGGCTGAAAAAGTCTTGGCAGGGAAATCTAAAATTGAAGATTACTTTCCTGAATATGTGAATTACACTGTTCCTGAGGATGGTAAGCTTTTTTAGCTGCTGGAATTTAAGAAGCAGGTGTAATCCTTGTTTTCAACAAATGCCACAGAGCTCTCAGATTCTTGAACTGACTAGTGGTGCACCACTGTGAAGAGATATGGCACATGCACCAGTACACACCAAAGAGAAACTTACCTTCAGGAAGGCCTCTTCTTTTATCTGAGTAGTAAACTCTGAGGAACAGATGCTGCTCCAGTAGTATGTAAACAACAACAGCTGGACAAGGTACCTGATACAGGTACAGTAAAACATCCCTGCTCTGCCTTCAAGCAAGTCCCAGCGTTGGCAGGCAGTAAGAGAAGCTGCTTATGGGAACAGACCCATAGCAAGCATGGGTTTGCTGCAATTCTGGGCTTCACTGTACACTGTATTCAGCAGTAAGGGAGCCAAAGATGGTGTAAAGGCACCTATGCACAGTCTCTCTTCTCATCCTCACCTCTCCTCTAGATCACACATTCCCCTGTGCTCTTCTTCTGTTTTGGCAAAGCTTTCTGTGCTATTCATGGAAGTGAAGCACAGAATCAGATGCTTGCTTTCCTTAAGATCTACTCTTTGAACAAATACTAAGATAATATTCACTGACTGTAGATCTGGCCTTCCCAGCCATGTAAGAGCAGTTTTGTTATTTGATGCATTCATAAATGTGAACCCAGGCATCTTTGTCTAATAAACACCTGGAAAAACTGAGCAGAGGAGAAAAGTGTTAATAACTACATAAAATATGAAATCTTAATGCCAGAAAAATAGGCAAAAACTATTTTTATATTTTAAAGATATATTTTGTGCTTTAATTAGCAAAGCTATGAACAGAACTCAAAGTAACAGAATGTTTAACTGTTGAGTTGCTGTTTTCTCATTTCACTTTTGTTCCTATACAAAAGCCACAAGTTTGTTCCAATAATCTTAAGTATTTTACAGTGAAACCTGTTCTGGTTTCTGATGGGTTACTGAAAGATCACTGTTGTGAGAAAAGTTATGTAATTTTTTAAAAGGACATTTCTTTTTAAAGAAAAGTGTGCCCTTTTGCATTGATTATGTTATTTAGAAGCTAAACTACTACATATGTAGCAGCTTTACAGACAGGCTTGAGGGGCATTTCATAGTAAAAGAAATCTGAACAGTTTAGCCGTTCTTTCTAATCACATTTTACCAGATTAAATCCTTGTATGTATGTCTATTCGTGTGAATAAAATGTTGGATGTAAGAAAGAAGGTGCCAGAGCTACCAACTGTTTAATATTTGATGTGATCAATAGCACCATAAATAATTTCCCACTTTATTCATAGCTGCTGCTCTTAAAAGGTATGGAATATTCAGAAATGTATTAAGATGCTTATTATACAGTGTCTTTACATTTTAAAATACCAATTGTGAGTATACAGTAGACAGTTTATGTTTTTAATTCTTACAGTAATGACTACCCTTTACTTACTAAATGTTTAAAATAGCTGATTATTTATTTAATTTATCTGATGCGATTTATTTTTAATAAACAGCAACACCAGATGCAGGAGAAGATCCCAAAGTCACAAGAGCCAAGTTCTTTATCCGGGATGAGTTTTTAGTGAGTAATTTTAAAAACTTGCATCTTGCAACATCACAGAAAATTCTGTCATTAAACACAATGGGTTTATAGAGGTGTGGTGGCATTGCCAAACAAAGGTAGAAGAGTCTTCCAGCTCTTTCCTAGGTCTTCTCAACCATGCATTTCTTAGCCTTTTTCAAGTGTCCAATGTGTTTATTTCCCTGTTAAAGAATGGTAAATCTCAAACACAAAAAATCCCAGGTGCCAAGATCCATGTGGTTTATCAGTGGGAAAGCTGGAAAGAGTCTACTTTGGAGCCAGACTGCCTTCCTCTTTCTTCTTGTTCTCCATTGTGCACACATCTGCAGTAACCCAGACTAATATTCCTATTTCTGGATAATGAGATTTTTTTTCTCAATGTATCTATAAAAGCCAGTGCATAACACACATTAATACCCCTAAGCTGGCTATACAACTAGCTTATTGTCAAAGTTAGTGCCATGCTGTCACAGGGTTACTGTTAGAGAAAGGTCTGTGTTTTAGTCTGTCAGATACTGGACACAACAAACTGAGCTGTTTACAAAACTTAGCTGTTTGATAAGCCTCTTACTTAGCCAATGAAATTGCCATTTTGACAATGTAGCTTGATTTAAGTGCTGTAAGGCACACAGGGGCAGAGGTTATATATGCTTATATGAATCTTGAAAAATATAATAGTGTTAAATATTCATATCTTTAATACATCATTAGACAACCTCAGAGAAAAAATGCTTTCAGTGGGACAGTAGGCAAGTAAGGCTGGGATAGCACTTCTGCATTACATTTTAAGTAGTTCTGAGGCAATTTAGAAAGAACAACTTTCAGCTTTTTGTGAATAGAAGGATTTTGTTATATCAATGGGCACTTTAATGCACATTAGCCTATTTTAATGCACATTAAAGTGTCACTAAAAACATGCTGTACACTTCATGCACATTAAAATAAGCTAATGCGCATTAAGCATCACTTAAAAGCCACGGGGCATTTAAACACATGCATTTGTCTGCTCCAACACGCCAGAAATCCAGTGTGTCAGAGCAGACCCGATGAATCGAGTCTGCAGAGCACACAAACTGATACACCCAGTGCTGCGTTGCACACATTTGTGTAAACAGCAAAATGCACATCAGGCTGAGAAAATGGCGGTGGTGCACTTTGAAACTAAAACACCTTTGATGTGTTTTAGTTCAAAAGCGCACTACCACCATTTTCTCAGCATGGACACACATTTTGCCATTTATACAAATGCACATGATGTAGCGACAGGCACTTTTAAGAGCACTCAGTGCAGGCTCATGCATATTTTCCTAATAGCTCACAATGGAGGGCAGCTGTACATGTATACAGAGCTTGGAGCATGAAAATTGACACGCCCCAGCAACCTTCCACGTCATATGTATCAGCATCACTGCACATCTCCACGCTGAAAAAATGGCAGTGGCATGCTTTGAAATAAAACACATTCAGTGAGTTTTATTTCAAAGCGCCCCGCTGCCATTTTTTCAGCTTGGGTGTGTGCAGTGACACTGATACATGTGACACGCGGGCACTTTTAATTAGCACAGCTCTCTAATTAAAGCACCCAGCGCTGTGTCCCACAAAACACGTAAAAATGCCCAGAGTTACTAGATTTAATGTGCATTAACTAAAGCGTGTTAATGCATGTGTAGACATACCTAGTAAGAGCAAAGAAACACACTGTACCAGTGGAGTTTGGTGTTTCACAGATTAGAGAAGAGACCCAATTTCTTAAGGAATGAGAGAAAAAGAGTTTGATTTGCTTTTGCTGAGTGGTCTCACTGCCTCTAGTTACATTTTTCTTTCCAGTTGTTTTTATAAACAATCCAAATTTTTTTTCTTGTCCTGCTGTCTTCTGCTTTCAAAGACAGTTCAGGCAAATCTACATGTATTCTTTTGCATTCATGTGTGCTGGGTTGGTAATCCACTACAACTGCACCTGGTGCACTGCAGCTCCAAAAACTCTCCATCTGCTGACCCTGATTGGGGGCCAGTTGTGTAAATAAAATGCAGACTAATTAAATAATTTTAAAAAGTATGTTTAAATGTGAACACGCCTCTATCTTGCATTACTAACATGTACCAGCAAACATCAGGCCTGATTTTTTCTAAGGTTGTTGCCCATCTGTAGTTCTTCCAGTGGAAATTCAGAGGAAAAGTAGGTTATGAGCATCCTATATATGAAATAATTGACTAGGGCACAGCAGGATATATGCTGTTTGGCTCACCACCCCAAAGCCAGATGGATCCAGCTCTGTGAGTTAAGGTCAGGTTACATGTTCAGTCCAGTAAGATAGCCTTATGACTTTGCAAGCACAGCATTTATGCCTTCAGTGTTTAGGATTCTCCAGACTCAAACCCTGATGTTCTATATGCAAGTTTCTGCTACTGTGCATGTTTTGCTTTGATACACCTCCATTATATGAATTGGCCTTACAGAAAGGCTAGCAGGACAAATCTCATTCATTTGGATTTTTCTTTTTAAAAATCTGAAAAATTCACTACTGGAATTGAAGCAGCTACTGTTTGAATAAATTGAGAGGAGTTCCAAAAATGGAATGATTTGTTCCTTTCAGAAGAATCCTAGCCAACTTGACCTGTGTATAAATATAGGCAGCCAATGTGAAATGCGCTCTTGCAATCTACTAAATTAAAGCATGAGGTCTTTTTTCCCTGAAGTAGGCATTCACTTGTATTAATACAAGTCTAATATAACTCCTTAGAATATAATAGAGTATTTCCTAAAATGAGAAGGTTGCTTAAGTGTCAGAACACAGACACACAAATGTAACTGGATGTTCCCCACATATCCTGGTGAACTGCCTGCTTTGTACTACACATTTTGGACTACACAAGCATTGTGTAAGATAAGCACAATGCAAATAGCTCAAAGTGACAGAGCCTTGGGCTTTGAAGGAGGTGGATCTGAGTTGTGTCCCTTGTTAGCACTATAGAAGTCATTTGGCATAATGTATGGAACAGGGAGGTGTGAAGCTGTAAGTGATCATAGGGGATTTGAACTGCTTTGAACCCTTGGTGCTGAAAGGCCACTTTGTCTAGGTTGGAGAGTAAGTAATAAATGCAGAGGTGTGTGTATTAGATGCACACATTTAGTGAAAGAATCAGTACTTAAACTCAAAGAAAAAATAACCCAGTGCCCCATCTGAACAGACTCTAAACTGTTCACTTGCTAGACAGATCTAGTCCGACCCCCTGCCATGGGCAGGAAGGAGCGCTGGGGGTGGGAGGGGTCATAAGACCCCAGCAAGGTGCCTATCCAGTCTCCTCTTGAAGATGAAAATCACAACACATTGAGATTGTCTTCCTTGAAGGAAGCATGCCTGAATATATAAATGGAAGCAATTGAAATACCTTTTAGAGGCAGCATGAATAGGTATTTTTAGATCAGTAACTGCAAAGAATGGAAGTGACTTGGAAGTAGTTTGAACAGTCTAGTCCTGATCTCTGCCAAGGTTTTTGTACAAAAAGAAAAGCCTTAATGAAAGAGTGCAGGGAGAGTGGAACTTAAGTTTGGGTCCAAACATTTTCTTCCAGAAAGACAAAAAAAAGCTCTGATCAGCTAGGTGTTCTCTGCTTGTTCTCAATGGATTATTATGGCTCTGCACTTTGTAAAAGTGATGAAATATTACTTATCCTGGATATGTGAAAGAACTGTGAAGCATCTAATATATGTAATATAGCATATATAAATTTAATTTATATTTAATATACAGATCTACATTACACTTTTTGGTGCATCTGTCAGATTAATATAATTAATCCCATGCTCATAAATTAGGGTTTGCCTCCATTGCTTTGGGACAGACAAGTAATCTCAGCCAAGCATGGATGGGAGCAGGTTGCACATAGTTGGATGAATGCCACAGTGAAAACAGAAATGGAGTTTGACAGTGATTATAGCTATCTGATGTATTACATATCAACAATGCATCTATGTAAAAAAATATATATTGTTCAACATTAATGTTTCATCCGACTCATTTTGCAGTCATAATCAATACAGGAGGAACAAGTTACCTATCACCTGAATCTAGTTCCAAAATCAATATTTATCTCTGACAGGTTAACCCTTGGGGCCTATTTTTTGGTGTACAGTTAATGAGCACAAGGGAGGCATGGACATGGAACACTTGCAAACTCTCTGAATTTAGTTAAAACTACACAAAATAGATCCTCCAAAACAACCACTGCTTTTAATTGGCCTAGGCACTTAATCCATTTTTAAGCACTGTAATTTGCCAAATCTTTGGCTCTTATTAGTCCTTTAAAATTACCTCTCTTAAAAGTTTGATCCTGTGTAAGAGCAATTACTATATTGAAAACAAACAGACAATATGGAACATTAATCTAAAGACAGAGATGGGTAAATCTGCCCTTTTATTTTTTATAAACTGAGAAAATATGCCCTGGTAACCTACAGTATGATTCAGAAGGGAAAATATAAAAATACTTTTACCTTTCATAATCTTTCATTTGCCCTTAGAAAAGATCCAAAAAGGCCACTAATAGTTTTCTCATTGACTGAGTGGAAGAAGATTATTTTAAATGATTCCTCTTTTAATCTGACATTCTTGTTTCTGGATTTCTGTCTACTAGTGCAAGACAGGGAAAACCACAAAGCTTGTGAAGGGCAGGGTTTGTGGTCGCTGCTAGTAGTAGGGAATGCAGTGTTTCCAAATCGGACTGCCCCTTTTTTGAGTTCTCTAAACAAAATCTTTGGGGGGAAGAGGATGCTTCTTTTTTCATATCCATTCAGTACTTGACTTCTCTGCTGAATGCAAATGTTCAGCAGTAAATCGTGAGGATCCCAGTCCATTTTCTAGTATATACTGTCCACCTGTAAAACCAATAAGGTAGGCCACCAGTTGCCAGTGAGTTCTATCAAACAGATAATTGAAAATGGTAAAACTATTTGGGCAGACCCTCTGGCCATGTCTACGTGAAACACTTTACTGTGCAGTAGACTAATCTACTGTGCAGTAAAGCATCACTGCCTACACACACAGGCACTTACCACACAGTAAATTAGTTTGCTGCACAGTGAAGGCAAGCAGCATTAATTCCAATGTAGACATGACTTGTGTTGTAAATGGGGCTAATCACACTATCTTTTAAACTACTAAGCTGGACGTGGAGAGAGAGCATATTTTTGTCTGGTATAAGAGCAGCTGTAGAAAATTGATATAATTGTAAACCCTTGTAAACTACAATTGGGCAACTTAAAGCATCTCTTATAGTGAAGAGATTTTTGCATGTGCCCAGTAAGGGAGATTGTGGAAATTAAGCCCATGCTTGGATGCTTCAGAGCCTGAGAGCTACCAAAAATTGAGGATGAGAAATGGAGTGCTTTTTCCCTTTTTTAAATTTGGAAGTAAAAGTTCCAGAAGTGGCTGCACGCAGCCCTGTTGTCTCCTTCATTGGCTATTTCTGTATTAATCACAGTCATTTTATGTCTACTTCGGGCTTTCCTTAATGCTTTTTCACTGTAGTAACTTATCAGTGACATAATCAAGATATCTATTTAAATGTAGATACCTAAATGGGATCCAATTGCCAGCACCTACAGTATTAGTAGTTTTAGTAGCCAGGATTAAAACTTCAAAACAAGCAATTGAGAACTGAAATTTGGTTTAGACTGGATTTCCTCCCTTTGCTTACCAACAGCTTTCCCGCTAAGACACTTGATACGTGTATATCTACTTGACTCATTTATTCAGAATATGCCAATGCAGTATCTGGCTAGTCAAGCAGACATCTCTGAAAACTGGCTATTATTTTCTACATGACACAACCTCAGAGTACATGTGGTTACTGGAAGGAGTAACTCCTGTGTACACAGCCCTGAGGAATCATTCCTTACTGTCTCATTTTTTCTGCAGAGGATAAGCACGGCAACTGGAGACGGCAAGCATTACTGCTACCCCCACTTCACGTGTGCAGTGGACACAGAAAACATCCGCAGAGTGTTCAACGACTGTCGAGACATCATTCAGAGAATGCATCTTCGCCAGTATGAACTCTTGTGATTGGGATCACCGTGGAGCCTGTGGTTTTAAATTCTTTGCTCCTTAGTCTCTCTATTACCCCACACAGGGTGGAAGAATATATTATAGAAATGTCAGTCCCATCAGTTTGTTTACCTTGATTATTTAACCCTTGAGCTGATTGGAACCAAGTTTGGGTTTCTTTTCTTCCACGCTTTTTTGGGATTATTTGTGTGCTTTATTTTGACGTGCCACTTCTTTATCATTCCACTAAGCCCTCTGGCTACCTCTCTTTCCTTAGGTTTTTTTTCCCCCTTAATTGAACATAACCTGCTAAATTTTTCAAGCAGGTTAATGTTACTTCAAACTGGTATCTCTCAGCTGGATGACACTAAAGTCATAACTATCCCTGTGTGCGGGTTCCTTTTTTTTAACATGACATTGAAGAGTACTTGATAGGTGAAAAAAAAGAATAATGCACTTTGTATCAGGTTATTAAATACTGTTGAGGAAGTATACACACAATGTAGCAGCACCACAATATTTATTACTCTGTCACAGTTTTTAGCATTACTGAGTTGCAGGTCAACTGATAAAGTGACCTCCTCTTTTAAGCCGTTACTGGCATAGGAAGTAGAGTAGACAATGAGAGGAATAGTGAAGATAAGCAATTTTTCTGGGGTTTTGGGGCTAAGTGTCTCTGCACACCTCAGGCATTTGAATTACAGCTACTTTTTCAGCCTATTGCATCTAGGCAGAAAAATTACCACCCTCAGTTCAGTTATTTGTGCTGTCCACAAATGATCCTCTTAGTTTAGATCATTCTTGGACAACAGTCCTCTCCCCTATATATATTTTTTGTTTTACTGCTGGTTTATTATATTGTACAGACTGTAAAATGTAATATTATTTTGTACAACTTTATTGAAGAAAAATACTTGTAGAAGATCTTTGTGCCTTGATTATGGCTGTACCTGTAAAATGAGCTAAGATGTAAGTATGTTTTTGACTGCGCTGTACAGCTTGATGTCAACCTTACCTGCAGCAGTGACTGGAGGTAAGAACTTTATCTGTAGAGTTTAGGGTTTTTTTCTGGTTTATATAAAAATGCTCTTTAGTATAAAAAATTATAAATTATGCAAATTAACCACTTACCTTTCCAAGTAAGGTATTACAGTCACCGGATGTTGCAGCAACATGCCTTTCTCTTTTGAAGTCTCAGCTTTAAAACATTGGAATTCATTCAAGTGTCCAAATTGCAACCTGGTGTTGTTTTAATGGGAACCAAGGATTTTTTTTCTTTATCTTTAGAAACTATGTTTGGTAATTCTTTGGTCATTCATAGAACTTCACAATTGCAGAAGCCAATTGTGAATGTGTAAAGCACCATTCTATAGAGCTCTTCAATCTTTGTACCAACAGCAGCTTTCATTGTGCAAGTAAATAGCAAGAAAGAAGAAAAAAAAAGGTGTAAACCCTTGTGTCTGGCCTAAGAGAATTACAAGATGACATTTTTATTTCTCTTTTAATAAAGAGACACATTAGAAAATTGTTTTATTTTAAATATTGTAGAATCAAAATGTGTGAATATTTCTCAAACTTGAATAATTTATGCAAATGACATTCTCAAAACAAGTTGTGGTACAGTACAATATACAAAAAGCAAGAATTGCTGTAGCAATAAGGCATGTCCTTTTTAGTAACTATAACACTGCTTTATATTTTATACATGGGTGTTTTGTGTCTGTGAGTATATACTTTTCCTGTGTCCAAGATAACCTGTACAAATGTCTAAAATTACAGTTGCAATAACAGAACATAGAGAAAAGTGTTAGCCTACATTACTTCAGACATTGTTTTATCACTCCTTGGATTGTCTCCACTCTTTGTTTTAATTAAGGACAAATTGAGCTCTGAAGTGTTTTCAGCCAAACACTATGAATCAAATTTTTATAATGGAGGCATGACTTACTATTGGTAAACCCAGTCTTTTTTCACTTACCATTAGACTGTAGAGAAAATTCAGTAATTGGTTCTATTTTAACATGGGATTGTTTCAATACTAAATCACAGACACTGTACTAAGACCCTTCCATAGTTTCTACCCCTTGCCATGAAATTACTACTGGGCTGTAGATATTTTTATATCTGTATCTGCTCCAGAGTTCTCATTGTGTTTCCCAGAAAGTGAAAGGCAGAGGGTAGTTAGTAATAGGAATAACTGGACACAGAAATTCTCTTGCTTTCCCTATCAAATCCTCCCCATCAACAAACTAGCATTTTTTTCTAAGAATAAGCGATGCAGGTAGGACTTAAAAAGTAACATGTTAGGCTAGAGCTCCCTTCTTCTGCAAGGACATCAGAAGGAAACTTCCCAATGCAAAAAACAGTTTTCCCTCTGGTTAAAATGGGATTTGGTTCCCTCTTCCCCCATGCAGGGACTCTAGCCTCTAGGTCTTTGCCATCTACCTACTGCCAACCATTTGGAGGCCCTCTGACTTCACCAGCTCTGAGGCCCACTGTGGCCATGCTGTTGGGGTTTCCCCATGCAGCAATCTGCATAACCCCATTAAAAAGGGAGATTCCATCTTGAAGGTAGTTCTACAATAAGGTTAATGTAACCTCCTTTGGTAACTATTTTGGAATCTTGTAGGGACACATAATCCAGGACCAAGACATAGGTAACTGTTAATACAGTGGTGTCTGACCTCCCTTCCTGGGGAAGACTGGCAAATGAAGGGACCCTCTCCACACAGATCTCTGGGATGCAACAGGGCCTTCATTTTTACAATTACCATAGCACATCTTTTTAAAGACAGCAGTTTGAGAGGTGTCACCCTAATTTTTATAGCAGGTTCGAAGTGTGTTTTGACACTTCTGACACTTGACAAACTGGACTTCAGAGGGTTGGGATATTTGACACTTACTGTCTGGTAGACAAGAGCTGCAGGTTGCAATCATCAACATCTGACTTTAATGCATCAGGGACTAGTGGATTTCTTCTCCCAAATGACAGTCTTGCCCACGACATCCTAGAAATGTTAAGGAAATCTGCATCTCTTAATGCTGATTTATCTAGCTCCTGCTGACATTAACAGAGTCTCACACAAGAAGAGCATGCAGCAATAAAATATACAGAAGTGTTCCAGTTTGCAAGCCTAAGCCTCTACTAGGGTAGGACACAAGTGCAGTCAAGTGATGAGGCTGTAATATTTACATAATGTACAGTTAAACTTTTAATATACATATTTGATACAAAAAATATAGCAGAAAAGGACTCATTTGATTGTAGAATACAGTATTTTTGTACAGCATGAAACAATTTCAGTTAATTATTTATCCTGTAGTAGTCATATCAACTGTATAGGACTTCTATGGTATGTGTGAATGCAACCTGCCTTTGGACTAGCAATCAAATTAGGTCATTTGCTGGCATGAATATAGTTCTGATGTTTGACTGTTCTCAGCTTTGGTATCAGTGACTGACTGCAGATGTTTGGCTCTTCATACTGCTTTATGCTTACTGATTAAACGCTGAGCAAAATAAAAAGATGGCATGAGAAAATGAGCTAGTAGGAGGACCACAAGCAGAGCTCCAGCTGCACAGTATATAGTAAAAACTCTGCTCTCAAATGGAAGGAAGCACTTCTGGAGGGAGAAGTCAGTCGGTGTTATGCTACCCTGAAAAAGAAACAGACTCAAGTTGCTCTTACAAGGCTGGGCACAGGTTTAGTTTGCTGGTTTTAAATCAGACACAATGGGAAAGCTATCATGTTAAGTTCTACCTTGGGTGGCAGGACCTAACCCAGCTTCATAGCACTAATGCCTTCTGCCATTCCCCTGTAGTCTGTCCACACCCTAGAGTGCAGTAGGGTAAGGAAGTCTGCACTGCAAACGGAGTGCAGTGTTAACTCAGGTTTCCTAATCAAAATTGGTTAACATTAAAATAGTGGGGGATGATGTCTAACTTGGATTTTGAGCTTGAGTTGGGAATCCAAACTCAAGTTTATAGAAGGGTTTGAACTTGAACTTCAGGTGGTAACCAGACTCAAAAATCCATAGTTTTCACTGGTACTTTAATTCAAATTAGCTCATTTGGATTAGTCCAGCCTGAGTGGAGAATATTTTTTTGCAGTATAATCATACACCTCTGACATGCTGCAGAGATTAGCTGCCATCAAGCTGCATACTTTCTCAGAAAAAAATTAAATAGGCAGCAGGTGTTAAAAGTAGAACTTCTTAGCAAAAGAATCATACAAAAAAAGAGAAAGAATATATAGTTTGAGGAGGCTTGGGTATTCAATGGATAAAGAAAGTCTTACCCAAGAGCAGCGAGATTCAATAATGAGACTTACCATGCTGTGAAGTGAACGGGCAGATTGTGGATTCTCTATTTTAAAACAGAACTTGTCAAATACTTGGAGCATCTTAAAACTGGGAAATCAGTTCTTAGTAATATTAATGATAAAAATATAGTGAGCATTAGAACTATCTACTGGAGCATAACCAACATTCAGTAGGACATGTGAATTGGGGACATGGAAGCAGATTTTTGCCAGAAGACAAGAGTTTGCCCTGCATAAAGTGATTAATGGGCAAGCTTGAAAAGGCAAGACCACCATACAACAAGTGGAGGCAGATGGTCTTGCTTTTGTAGTTGATAAATCAACCAAGAAAAATTAGTCTCTCTACTGTTCAGTACACAATACTGATAATTTCTACAAGTCAATAATTTACACTGCTCCCTCTTTATAAAAACATTCCTACATGCTTGTACCTGTGTACAGATCAAGCGGTATCACTTGTATGCTACACAGATTGTGCAGCTCCCACTGCTATGTTTTATAAAGTGGATGCAGACTATAAAAAGTATTGGGTGTTTGAAGGAGTCAGCTCTTTTTTTTTTTTAATCAGTGGCATTGGTTAAAAAAATAGATAACTCTCTCTGAATAGCAAGCTGACAAAAAAATATTAAAACATACCATGATGAAACTAGGGTTGTTTCTATTCCTCCAACTGAATGATGGGACACTGACTTCTAGAATTTTCCCATCATGCAGTACTTCACAGGCACTGTGGGTATGGCCACTCAGAATCAAGCGGGGATGAAACCACCATATCAGCTATATTGAAAACAGTTGAAGAAAAAACTGTAAACAATGTTTAAATGCATTTTTTAAATAGTGACATGACTTAATACCTACTTTTTCTTCTGATGGGATTCCAAATAGTCTCTTTGCGCTGATGTTTTTGCAGAATCCTCCTATTTCCCTGGTCTCAAACTGTTTTGTGGGTTTTTGTAACATTTTATTAAAAGGGTTGCTTCATTTGGCCATCCTATGCATTAGAACTTGTGCAAAGCCTAGTATCATGTCACTGGCACCACATAACCCTTGCTTTTAAAACGAGGAATGCTGCTTTCTTGTCCAGGAGGAGAACTGCACTGCAAAACTTGAGCACATACATTTCTACTGTAGGAACCATATGCTGCCCATTGAATTCATTAGGATGTTTTGTTTGCACTTTTTATGGTAATTAATTCAGTGAAGATAATGCTTAGAGTGTGTTGGAGAAGATCACTGACTTTATTAGAGTCCTACCAAAAATGGATTACCTGTATACTCTCAAACTTTACATAGAGTACAAAATGCTACACTAAAGATAATGTTACTATAGCAGACTCAGTGCCTGGACCTACATGTGGCACAATAGTGGAGCCAAGACAGACTCTGGTGGTCCTTAGGCAGCACTTCTACCACAGAGTCTGCAAAGCCTCACTAATCAGGAAGAGCTGTGTTCAGCTTGTCTCGGCTAGCATTCGCTCTTTCCAATATGATATAAATAATTAAAAGATTTCAAGAAGAGATGTAAAGTTATGTGATATTAAATAAAGTTGCTAAATTATCAAACCTTTTGTGAAGCTTCTTGAGAAAGTACATCATACTTTTCTTTAAACGGGATGTTCTTCTCCTCAGGAGGGGCAGAATCTTCTCCAGTGCATTCAGAGTCGCTCCTCCTATAAAGAGGGTAATGCTTGCAGGGATTCAGATAAGAGCAGTTATTAGCTAACGGAAGTCTTTGGACAGTGTTACCAGATGCACATCTTTACATCCCCAACAAACCTGTAAAAGGATTGGCTGTGAAGCAGGAAGCTGTTCCATCTCTCTGCACCTTTTGTTGGAATGCTTCTGTTCCTGCAAATAAAATCAAGCCAGACAACTTATGTTTTTTATGTCTCAGCAGTAAGAGGAAGAACCTCAGATCATAGAGACTACTTCAGTACAGTATCTCATGGAAACTGCTATGTGGCCTTACAGAGTTAGAGTTTAAAAATTAGGGGAAGGAATTTTAAGAGCTAAAAAGAAGGGAGAAAAGCTGTATGGATGAAATGCAATCAGAGAATAGGTAAAACAATAAAGGAAATCTCCAAATAAAAGATGTCCATCCAGAGTGGTGGAAGAATAGATGGTACTGAATGAACAAAGCTTAAAATGTCTCTAAAAAATAAGGCCAATTCAGAACTAGAATGAAGTACTAGGGGAATTTTAAGGATGGCATGAGTATGGTTTATATTTTCTGTATATATATGGGAATCTAATAGCAACATTTTACTGTATATGCTGAACCACAGAAATTTGTTATGGCCCTAAGAAGACAATTGTAGTCTAGCAAGAAAACGAAGTATGCGTGAAGATGCTGACTCCAATGGGATTCAGCTTGGTCCACAACCCAGGATAAGAAGTTCAGGGACTGGGTTAAGGCAAAGCAAATAGACATTTTTTGTTGAAAAGACGGAGGATTTAGAGCTTGTTGTTAATACTCTTCTTACACAAGAGAAGCAGCTTTATTATGGAAATAGAGCTAAAAGTGTCGATAGTAGAGTCTCAAGATAACCTGTTATATCAGGGAGGAATATTTAAAAAGAATACATTTGAGGAAAGCTGAACAGGAGATGGTAGACTGAAAATATGCCTGTTCATGAAATGATGCATAACTTTATCCAAAGATCTTTAAATGCTCTGCAAAATGAAGTGACTCACCAAAACTTGTACAGGTCATCAGTGGTAAAGCCAGAAATAGGATCTGTGTTTCCTGACTGCACATCTGTTACGTCAAACTGCCTTCATTGTATCTGGCCAGCACTCAAGGAAGAATCAAGGTAACGTGGTGAACAGTGATGAGTTTAATGAAGACATGGTAACTGAAATCAGAATTTCATTATAGCTAAAAGGAAGCTAGAAAATTTGATGGAATCAAAGGGACACCTGTCGTTCTGAAGGAAGAAGTAGAGACCCTATATGGGCAGGGTGGATTTGATTTAAATCCAATCAATTTGAGTCACGATTTAAATCACTGGTCAGGAAGCTTCAATTTAATCATTGTTTTCTATAAGAAGTGCATTCCTGTTTGATATCCTTTATTCATTTAACTTCTTGAAACTGCACTTTTAGAGAAAGGTAAGGGCTTGACTGTGTGTACACAAACTTGCAGAGACAATAGGGTTGATGGGTAGGTAATCAGGTCTGTTATCTCTCATCTCCATATACTGGTGTTAACAAGGATGTTATCTCTAGAGGCAAGACACTCTCCCTGAAGAAGGGCATTTGTGCCCCAGAGCTTGCAAAGACCAATTTCTCCAACTATTTAGTTGGTCTAATAAAAGATATCACATCTACCCAATGAACCTTGTGCGCCTACTCTGGAGACACAAATCCACAGTTTGAGAACTGAAACTAAGCATCACAGAGATACTTAATGGGATCTTAGATGGAGCACGGAGTCCCACTGGGTAGAGTGGTTTTCTTTAATCTTTCCTATTCTATTGAGAAGCCTCTGGGAACCCCATAAGACTGGGCCTCTAATATAATCCATGGCCTGTTGTGACATGTTTATTAAACTTTTCTAAAAAAGGTGACATGAATATATTGTCTCAAATAGTATATAATTAGAAGTTATAATCCCTATTCCATGATGATACCTTTGAGCTTTAACATATCTTAAATTAAAACCATCTTTATAGAAGTTACTTTAAAAAAAAATCTTAACCAAAAATATGATTAAGTAAAAAAAAATCTGATTTAAATATATCCATTTTTTTTTTAAATAGTTCATTTTTATCCATCCGGTATATGGGAAGTTTAAGTGATTTTGTGAAAGAGAAGGTGGTTATGGGAGCATTGTGAGTAGAGACCATGGAATACATACAAGTGTGATCTGCAAGATGATGTCTGAACAACAGGATAGGAAGAAGGGTTCTAGGGACAGGAGGGTTGGAGACTGAGATTTTTCAGAGAAGAACCTGTATTCTAGGATCGTAGCACCAATACTTCACTTACCACAATGAACTGTTTTAGGTAGCAACCACTCAGTAAACACTTACCTGCTGGGAGCAATTCAATTTATGAGAAAACTCAATGAGCTTTGCCTCTGCTAAACTGCAGATGGTGCAGCCATCACCCTCCAGAGCAACACTGTTCACCAGCACAAAACTGAGAGGGTGGGAGGAGAGAGAGGGAGAGAAAACTGTTTGGTAACTATGCATTAGTGGCACAACAAGGTACCATCTTTTGATGTGTTCACAAGTTGCATACATTAAAGTCAAAACATATGGTCTGAATCCAGTAATGGCTGTTCTCAGCTCACATAGTTATGGTGCAGACGTGTCCCAATTATTGTGGAGCAGAGACAACCAACCCTCCAAAGCTAACTGCCCGCAGAAAGTGCTATTACAATGTCTGGCCACGAGGTGGCACAGAACCCAATCTGCATTAAAAAAGGACTGCTAGGCTTAAAACTAAAAAAGCAGACACAAAACAGGTTCCACATAGTAATCGTCCCATGCAATAAACTTATTACACAATTTTGACGGGATTGCATTACCCCTGAAAAGATGCACACCACAGGGCAGGCCAGGACTGCATAGTGTGTATGTGCTCCATTTTATGACACTTCATGACCAATCTCTTCTACATGCTCCTGAAACAAACTATCAGCTACCACTGCTCTATATAGTCACTTGTTTTCATAGATCTAATTGGCAAAATATCATTCAAAATTGTAACAAGAGTTTAAAGTATACTTTGTTTGCAGTGCAAAAGCTGATAACATGGAATTCTGAGGGAAAGTCAAGCCACTGCAAATTTTATTTGTTCAATAAGTGCCTCTTAGCAAAATGAAGGCAAAGCTATAGTGCAGAGGTTCTCCAACTGTGGTCCGCAGACCACCACTGGTCCACGAGCTCCATTCAGGCGGTCCACAGAAAGGTTACAGAACAATCAAGAATATCTCTACTTGTAAAGTAAAACTACCGAGATTAAAATATGAGTTGTGTACTTTGATTTGTAGGAAAAAAAAGTTTATTAAGTGGTCCGCTGAGACCCTCAGCAATTTTCAAGTGGTCCACAAAAAAAAAAAGTTTAAGAACCACTGCTATAGTGCTTTTGAGAGCCACTGTTCCAACTATTTTGTTTTACACCTAAAGAGATGCCTTTCTAGTCAAGCTTTAGGTTTCAAGTACAGCTTCCACATCCTGCTTCATCTGCAGCCACTTAACTGTACTTTTCTTTTAGATTCTAAATTAATCTTCTCTTGCTGCTGGCCTATTACCCCCATCACAAGCATAAACAGCTATTCTCTTACATGCAAACAGCCAACAGAGAAGGGTGTATTCTGATTAACCGCAAAAGAGAAGCAATTTTGTGATTAAGTCCGTTACATGCATAAATGAGCTACGTTCATCATGCAAAGGTTACTGGAATATAGCAGATTAGTTTAAATCCCAACCAATATTTTTCATCAAGTAAGCTGTATAGTTTGCACCTGTTTTCTGCATGTGAATCTTCCTGAAGTCTATTTAATAGCATAGTTTGTATCAGTAAGCAGTTAGTCAGTATGGTATTACATATACAAGCTGCAGTGTACTATAAGTAAATTGCTGTACTATTTTAGTAAGGGCAGCATAGAGCCATTTCTTATTTCATAACTATTTTCAAAGTTAACTACTATACATGCATGTGTAGCACCAGACCTGCTTTACAAGAAGTTGTACTGCACTGGCCTGTATTATACTCAGTGGTCGTGTCTACACGTGCACTTTAATGTGTGCATTAGCCTATTTTAGTGTGCATTAAAGCATCACTAAAAATGTGTTATTTAGTTAATGTGCATTAAAATAGGCTAATGCACATTTTCCTAGTACCTCACAATGGCAGATACTAAATTAAATGTGCATTAACTAAAGCACATTAATGCACATGTAGACACTCCCAATATTTTTTTTTTCCTGAATGGTATAGCACAGAGGTTCCCCAAATTTTTTGTTTTTTATCCCCTTCCAGATTTACCAGCTGCCTGTGTACCCCTACCAGCATATGTTTTATATTTTAACCCCTTAAGGCATATTTATACAAGCAAGCACTGCAGCGCTGGGCACTTGGAAAAGCACACGGCACTGTGAGGCTTGCAGTTGTATAAGCAGCAAAATGCACATCAGTGCTGAGAAAATAGTGGCGGTATGCTTTTGAACTAAAACACATAAAAGGTGCTTTAGTTTAAAAGCACATCACCGCCATTTTCTACATGCTCATGTACATTTTGCCAGTTATACAACTGCACGCAATGCAATGCAGTGCATGTCAGCTTGCAAGTGGAGCAGACTCAGTTAATTGGCAGATTTCTGGCATGTTGCAGGACCAAAAATTGTGTGTATAAATGTGCTTTAATGCCAATTAGTGTTATAATGAAAATTAAATCTTCCATTACATAATCTCTCCCGCATATCCACCAGAGGTGTCCACACCCAGGTGTATGCATACCACAGTTTGGGAACCCCTGGCACAGCAGTTCCATGCCTGCTTAGAACGTTTAATGTTTAAAAAATTAAGTCCGTTTTTATTTGTACTTGTATTGCAATTTGTATTTGGTATTCTTCCTGTGCAGAATTAGAAATTGGAAGTATGCATGACAAATAGTCAACAGTCAAAATATTTAACTGGGGGGCAGGGTGGGGGTGGAGCAGGGCAGGCAGGAAGGAGTACAGAGTTTGACAATATGCCTTTCAGCAGAGGCAATGTTCCTGTCTCAATGGAGTAGATAAGCCAACAAGACATACTAAATAAATGTAAAATCAACAGTTTATTTACTGGACCCTCAAAAGGTTTCTCCAACTGATATTAAAAGCTTATTCTCTCCTACAATGTATGGGGGCTTACTTAGAGGCAAATCCTGAAGTGATCCCAGTTAAATCATTCCTGTGCATATGGACTGCAGGATAGGTGTTACGTTGCCAAAGTCCACAAACAAGGGCTGAGCTTTGATAATAAAAGGGAGGATTTTCTACCAATGGTAAATGCTGGTATTTAAACAATGAACAATTTAGCTCAATCCTATCCTGCATTTAACACTTGCAACCAGTGGATGAAAGTAAAAAGACACAAATCTGAGTCTGTTATAACAGCTCCCTCTATGCTCTCTGAGATCACATTTATGGGTAAACAATAACTATTCACAATAACAGGAAAAAAGGGTTTAGCAAAATAAAAAAGAATTAAGAGGGTCTGAACGTTAGCACAAAGTAGCCTTACTTGACTCCTTTCCGGGTTACTATCATTTCTGAGGTGAAGTTGAAGACTTTTTCAAATCGTTTCAACTTGTAAGTGGTCATTCTATGTTTTGTTAAAAAAAAACAAAAAACACAAAAAAAAACACAAAAAAAAAAAACACAAAACTGTGATACTCAAAACCTTGGCATAATATGCTGAAAACTGTCTTTTACATTGGTTTACAAATGCAGTAAGCAGCTTACTTCTCCGGTGTCCAGATTATACCTTAAGGCTCAGATTCTGCTGCTTTGCCACTATACTCAGGCTTCAGAGTCTTACTGCAGTGTACACTTACCCCCTCATGTAAATACAGCAGATAGAGGCCACTCATGCAACTCATCCTCCCTGCTGCAGAAATAACAAGGAAAAGGGAATACCCCTCTATCTCTAGGACCCCTATCTATAGGATCTATTGGGCTGCTGCAGTTCAACATGTGTTAGAGCAGTGCTGAGTCTGTTGTGCCAGCACAGCCATACTGGCTCTGAAGAGAGTAGTAGCATGAGCAGGAAAGCATACAGTGAGCATGAAGGCACTTTCATAAGGCATTCCACCAGCCAGCCCAAAGATCTGACTTCTAAAGTGAAAGCCTGGCTTAATCCGCACTTGAAAATATTCTAGATCGGGGCAGGCAATTATTTTGGGTGGAGGGCCGCTTACCGAGTTTTGGCAAGCTGTCAAGAGCCATATGGATAGCTCCACCCCTTGACAAGTGTCCCCCCCGGTCGCCATCTTGGGACTGGAAATCCTGCCCCCTAAACGCTGACCTTTGCCACCACAAGTCCCTCCCCATGCCCCCGGAAGTACTCCTTTCAGCAAGGTGTTTTGCCATCTTGGAACCAGAAAAATACCAATTGATATTCTAAAAAGTGAACACCTAAATCATTCATTAATTTGATTTCAAAACATATTTTTGTCCTGGTTTACATGTTTCCGTAGTGTACATGGAGGTGATTGTATACAATAACTTAAAATGAAGTTTTACTCTTGTATATTGGGAGAGTATAGGTTTGTGGGGGGGCTGTGGGTGTGTGGGTATTTCAGGTGTGGGGGTGAATAGGCGTGAGGGGTGTGTCTGTGGGGTGAGGGAGCTTGTGGGTATATGTGTGGATATGTGGAGTGTGGGTGGGTATGGGGTTTGTGGGGGCTGTGTGTGGGGAATGGTGGCTGGAGGGTGTGGGTGTGAGGGTCTGCATGTGAACAGTGCAAGGGAAGTGTGGGTATATGCGTACAATGGGGTGTGCATGTAGGACTTGCCCTGTGAACACACACGCAGACTTACAGAGTCCCTCCCTACATTCTCGCCCCCCATACCAGCACAGCCCCATGCTCCCAATCTGGCAATACAGCCAGGAACCACATGGTGCTGGAGCAGGGCAGGGGCAGGAAGGCAAGTAAATGGCTGGGGGTGGGGTGTGGGCGGGGCTGGGCTCCTGCCTCCTCCTGCCAGCCCCCCCTGGGTCCTACTGCCTGTGGCTCCTGTTCTCTTTGACAGGCAGCCAGGAGCAGATAAATATTTTCTAAAGTTTGTAGGGGTCCCGCAGACGGGACAGACTGGCCTGGTGGGCCAGATCCAGCCTGCAGACTGTATTTTACCCACTCCTGCTCTAGAAAATTTGCAAGGCTTTGAATCGTATGCAAATCACAGGAATTACTATTTGGACCCTGGCATTTCTGTCTTACTGAAATACTTACTCATAATGAAAGCCAATGTCATGGTTGCCAACAATAACCACAAGCTCAGTTTGAGCTGGATGTCGAAACATCCTCTGAAATCTCCTGACATCATCTGCCCAAGCCTGCAGGAAAATTGTAGAAATTGGTGGTGCTGAAGAGAACTATGGAAAAGCTTACTTGCGTGGTGTCACATTGGTTAATAGACCCTGAGAGATGTTCACGTTTTAGGAGCCTGGACTATGGAAAAGCCAAAAGACAAAACTCCTCCCCAAACTTGGGGAGAATCGCCAGATTTCAGTTTGACAAGATGGGTTCATTAAAAGAGGTGCTAGCATGCCAACTGCTCTTGCAAAGAGTGAAAACTGGCTTTAAAACACAGTAAAGAAATAGAACTTTTTGACCGGCCAGCAGTAAATCAAACTCCATAGGTGGGCATTAATACGCAGGTCTAATTATTACCCTTATTATTGTTTGCAAAATTCTCTAGCAAGAAATTTTTGCACACTCTGGATAATGCACTTCTTCAGATTCCAAATGCCAATTGTCTCCTGTACACTAAAAAAGGCTGAATAAATTAATCATTTGCTATTTAAGTTTCAATTGCTGCCTATCATTTTCATACTAATATCCTGTCTGGCATCTTAGGAACCGGTGGCCACAAAGCTTTATAAATATGTTGTGGTCTTGAATTTTACCTTTCTGGTAGTGCAGGACATCAGTAGGAAGAGGATCGTGCCAGTAAAATAGTACTTCCTATTAGCAGGAGTAAACCCATCTGATCCTCTTTTCTGTTTTCGTGCTTCATATGTACAATAAGGATCACACTTAATCATGTGCCCCAGGCATGCCCATTCTCTGTGCACACCCTGTATCCTCTTAACCATGTAATCAAAGTGCCAGGGGTCTAAACTCCCTCAAAACGAGAGAAAATTTAGCACTTAATGGCTATGTGTAACCCCCATTCAGACTGGGCCACAACAGCCTTGTAGTGCCAGGATCACATCACAGAAGACCTTCCAGCCCATAATACAGAATTATAAATTGGGTTTAAGGATAATCTCCCATTTACACTAGTCCCACTTCACTCATCTCTGTGGATCAACCCCTTCATGGAAACCCAATTGCTTCTTTATTAGCTCATCAAGCAGATGTGGCCCTCTTACCTGTGAGCGGCTCCACTTCCCTTCATCAAAGACATCACCCAGAATAAAAACAACATCTGGCTGCAGTAACAGGGCAGTTTGGAAGGCTCTCTCCATTTGCCACTCCCTACAGAGAAAAGATGTGGTCAATACGTGCCTCTAACTTCCTGCTACTTTGAAAGACAAAGTCTGACCTGACAGGAAGACAAGGCAGACACATACATTCCTCACTTATAAGGTAAGGCAGACACCTACAAGACTTACCATGACACTAGAGGTACACCAATACATTGCTCCGTATCATATCAGCACCAATAAAAAGAAAATTTACATGATCAGCAATTGACTTTTTTTGACTGATGCGGCCAATAATTTCACCAATAAATGAATGTACACAGAATGTACACAGCCAACCCGGCAACTTGAAGAGCAGTGTCTGGCTGGTGAATCTGCAGAGGGGAAGGGGCATTTGGGGGAGTGGGGGGACGGGACAGATGGAGGCTCCTACCCTGGAGATCTTCAAAAGCAAGCCTGGATGCACACCTTGCTGGAATCACTTGACCCCAGCAGTCTTTCCTGCCCAGAGCAGGGAGGCTGGCCCGGATGATCTCACAAGGTCCCTTCCAGCCCTAAACTTCTGTGAATCTGTGAGGCCCTCAGAGTGAGGCAGGAAGTGGGGCTGGGGCTGGGGCTGTTGGCTAGGCATGGCACTGGACTCTTCCTGGCAGAGGGGCTGAGCCAGGGCTGCACTCAGGGTGGGTGGCAACAGCACTAGAAGGGGGGGCTAAGGCAAATCATGGGGTGGCTGCAGCTCCCCCATAGCACCCCTCTCCCAGCACCGCCACCACCCACTCCAAGCACAGCCCACCCACTGGGAAGAGCCCAGCACTGGCTTTGCCCCCAGTCCACAGCAGCAGCCCTCCTTTGCCCCACACACAGATCCAGGGGCACATGCCCCCCATGGCTCTCCTAGGGGTGCGTGTAGCAGCAGGCTTCATCCCCCATCCCATCCTGACTGGGCAGCACCTGCCCCAGCCCTACTCCCTCCCTCACCACAGAGGCCTCGATCTGCCCCCACCACCCCTTCCCCCCAACAGACTTACCAGCCAGATGCTGCTGTCCAAGCTGCCAGGCTACATATCAGCAATCAAATCAGTATCAACCAATATGGTTCATTAATAATAGGTCATCAGTATCAGCCAAAAAAATCTTTATCGGTGCACCCCTACATGACACCTAGCTAAACATAAATCCTAGGGGCCCATTTACATGCTCAAGTGCAACTGAATGTGTGTCACTTTTGGCATTATGGATATTTTAGATCTATTTCTACCTGTACAGCACTGCTTCTCTGCCCAAGCATGCAGCAAAGCCTCCCCTACGGACACATATGTGCTATCCTGCGCAAGGTGACGCACAACTATATTTAAGTACTTGAAGCTGAAACCAGACCAAAATCACAATTAGCAAGTGGGCAGTGAATGTAATGGTGGAGAAGGATGATGACCCTCTAGCCCAAAAGTTTAGTGTAGGGCTGTCCAACTGGCAGCCCCTTGACCTCATGTAGCCCACAAGGGTTCTGCCTGGTCCCCTCTTCCCCCATTGTCCCAGCTGCAACAGCAGCTGGAGTCTCTGGGCTCTCCCTCCCCTTGCTTCCGATTTCCATGCCTACCCCCAGAGTGGGGAGATGCAATGAGGCACAGTGAAGAGAGCCGAGGGTGAGCCTGGAGCTGTGTGGGTGTGCGATGCAATGGTGAATGGGGCACCCATGTGGTTGCATGGTGCACTGCAGGCAGAAGGGGCCTTGCCCACATGGCCCAGGGATGCCATAGCCCCCGCTGATACGGTGTGTGGCCCCCAGTCACTTAGAAGTTGAACAGCCCTAGCTTTAGCAGCTAGGATACATGCTCAGATTCCAGGTTCCCCAGACCCATAAATGGTTTGGAACTGCATCTCCTACTTTCCAGCACAGAGCAACCAAGAGGGGCTAGGAGAAGAGCAAGCCAGGAATGCAGTTTAGTGAGATAGAAACAGCAATGGAAGGGAGCAAGCCCTGGATTTGGCCCTGTCCCTCTCTCCAATGGCTTTTCTGTACCTTTCAATAATTACTGCCTAAAATAAAACAGCTGGAGGATAAATTTTGCCCACTCCACAGAGCGCAGAACCCAGGTCTTGCTCCCTTCTATTGTTATGCCCATCATAGAGTCACATTCCTTCTTGCTTGCTTTCCTCTGGGACCTGCATATCTTCTACTTAAGTACCTAGTGCGCCAGCCTTTAGAAGAGGGCTGGAAAGTTCTCTGGGTATTCCCTAGTTCATAGCCTGGTAGTTGAAGCATTTTGCTGGGAAACAGGTGTAGGTCAAACCCCTTCTGGCTGGCTGAGAAGTCCATCCTCTTCCCACAGTCACCATTCAGTTGTTAGTTGTGGGATTTTTCCAGCCCCACCTTCAGAGTTTTATGTAACGTTACATGCCTAACTAGCAGGACCACCACAGAGCAGATGTAGCCAGAGTGGAGCCTTCTAAGCATCTTCAGAAGGGAAAACATAGCTGTAGATGGAAATAGGAACTAAAATCATATTGAGTACCAAAAATGCTACTTACATAGCTATGTTTGGGCACGTAGCATTTAGATGTCTAACTGTGAGTAAGATTTAATCCTTGAAGTCCAGTAGGTGAGCTTCCCCCTTCTCACCCCACCAAAACACACACTGCCTGTTCATGACATTCCATGCATAAAGTGCTGATGAAGCTAAAACTTCAGCTCATTTTTATATATAATAGGTTGTTAGTAGAATGCTGAATACTTATATACGCAATAATGTTTTTGTTCTTTCAGCAATCTTTCAAATTGCTAACCAAGTCTCCTCTCTGGCTAATGAAACAGCATTACAAATCATTTAAATAACATATTAACTGCATGGTACCTCAAATGCACGAAGTCTTTTTTGCTAACAACAAAAAATGACGTAACACTGTTTTAAAAGGTATCGGCTTGCATTCACAAACCAAGGGTAGGCTGTGCTCTATGCAAGGTCATACCACTGTTTTAAACCTTTCCTGTATTAGGGCACCTAGGGATGTGTTACTTGAGTAGGTGTTGCTCTGAAATGATGTGAACCAGGGTCCTGTTGCAACTCAGAAAAGGCCACATTCTATTATTCTGCAACTGGAACACCACTGAATTTACACTGCTACATAAAATGAATCCTATCCTACATACATACTGTTACAAGCTGATAGTTCAGCAATAGCTTGATCTCTCAGCAGTTACCGATTCTGAGGATAACTACAAGTTTCATGTGATGCCTTAATGACCCATAAAATTTTTCCCCCATTGGTGTCATAAAATAGAAACAAGAATTTTTGTATCTAGTCAATGCAGGGTTACACAAAAAGGAAAGTTACAGCTAGAAGGTTTTACTCTGTCTCAGGGAAATAAATCAAGAGAAACTCCTTCAATGTCAAGTTTCAATCTCTTCTTCCTCAACTCTTAGCTTTTGATACAATGATTCTACTTGTAAGAAAAGAATAGTCCTGAGCATTACTCAAATTCCATCTCCACAGTCCTATACCTCATGTGAGGACACAATAAGCACTTTCCTTCTGCTTCTCTTTGGATTAACATGAAGAACCAACATGGCTTTGTGGATTAGGTTCAGGACTGGGAGATCTGGATTTTACTTCTCATTCTGCCATTGGCTCACTGTGCAACAGTAATACGGGGACCTTAAAAAACAGGGATGTTGAACAGCACATTTCTGAAAAGCACTCTATCATTTATGAAGTATTACTATGATCTGGAAAAAAAGAGACTCCCTGATCCAAGCAAGGTACTCAGAAGCTTGTGACAATTTTCGCTACGTGAATCTGTCAGATGCTGCACTGACTAAATAAACTGAATTCCTTAATCCTCCAAATTTTGTTCTCTCCATCCCAAATTCAAATGAGAACTCATAGCCAGTCAAGCTAATTTGCCACCATTGCACTATGCTATTTAGTACTTGTTGTATATGGATACTATTAAAAACTCCAGAAATTGGTTGCAGCTTGTTACTGAATTCAATGATTACCTTCTTAATTTGTCCAGCCAGTGCCCTTTGATTTCACCAAGCAGGTGGGTATCAGATAAAAACATTGCCTTCAAAACAGAAGCTGAAGTCTGTCTGCTGCCCTTAAGTGTGTCAGTTTTCACTTCTGGCCAATAACACTGAAATATCACTACATAATAAATTAAAAATTCACAAAAGATTAACACTGAGCAGGCAAGACACACAAGCATCAGAAGAAAACAAATTCTCTTCTTCAAAGGAAGATTCTTCACCATGCCCGAGCTGAATCTCAACATTGCTAAAGCAGCCTATAGAAGTAATTCTCCAATGGGAAGAACTTGTCACACAGCTAGAAATGTGCAGGTCCAATCAGAGGTCTTCACAGTACTACAAAATACCTGCAAAAGAAATATAAAGTATTTACAAGGCCTGGGTTCCAGGCACTAGCCAAGCACAGCTTATTTTACAAGATGTGAAGCCAAATACCAAGCCAAAAAAAATTAACTGTCTTCATTTTAAAAGCTTTGAAGCTCTGACACTAAAGATTTAAACTTCAAGGCTAGGGACAGATATTCAAAAAGCCTGAATCGATTCAATCTTTGCATGTTAGTCTAACCTCGCTAGGCTGAACTGGTTTGTAACTGGACAGACGTTCTCTCTGGATGGAGGAAATTCAGGCACATGCCTGCAGTGGCTCAGGCTAGAAGCTGGGGGTGGAGGGGTGCTAGAGCAGCCTTCCCCTCCACAATGCTGAGCCCGGGTGGGCATGGCCAGGCCCCAGCAGGATGCTTTGATTAGGGGGGTTTGCCTGCATGGTCCCAGGCTTTTCCCCACTGGCTGCTCAAGGGGCGGGAGTGTTGCCAGACCACAACCCCCTGCTAGCACTCTGTGAGGCAAGGGGGTCTGTGCAGTGCATGCATCTGTTGATGATACAGAGCTTTTCAATCTCCCTCTCCCTGCAGCAAACTGACAGGCAGTCAAGCCAGCAGGGGACTGATAACAGTGATTAATCACCTCATCAGCCAAACAGCAGGCTCTCTCCATTAGTTCAAACTCTTCTTAAACAGCTTACTGGCTGACATGTTGATTAACTCCAAATAGCCCTAAACGGACACTGCGGGTCTGCCTGTCCCAGTGATATTGGAGAGACACACACAGAGACACTTCTCAGCATTAGCTAGCATACCATGTGCCTAGGGGCTGTGGGGCTGGGGGCTGTGCTGTGGGAGATGGGTGGGAGAGGGAGGATCCCTGCTTGAGCAGTGAGCAGCGAAGTGGGGATAGGGCAGAGGGAAGCCAGGCAGACCCTGGTGTGTCTGCAGTCTCTACCAGAGCTCCAGCCAGGGAGCAGAGGGGAGGGGCCAGCTCTGCTATGGAACAAAGAGCCTTGCCCAGCCCAGAAAGCATGCTGGAGGTGTCTGGTTTATCTTAAACCAGCAAGGGGTCTAGCACAGACATTGCATAAACCGATTTGAGCCAAATCAGTTAAGTCTGATAGTACATTCAACCAGGTTTATCTCAAACCAGTTTCAGTCAGTCATTCTCAAACTGGTTTATATGTACTGAACATCTGTTCTGTCACAGGTTTAAATCAGTTTCTGATCACTTAAACCAGTTGATGTGTAATGACTGTCCCTAGCCCAAATGCCAAGTTGCAATTCTCAGCAGGATGAACTAGTTCACATTGAGCTCTATACTACCATAAATTGCTACCAGTATCTTTTAGCTAGCTAATTTAACAATAGTTCAAATATCTCTAAAAATGATGTCTCTAAAGACATGAATGATGGGAGCTTGCCCTGGAGACACTGTAGTAGGCAAAGAGGACAGTAGCGCATGCACTAGGTCATGTGTAACTTTTCTAGTGGTCACCTAATGTAACTATCTCAATTTAAAAGGATAGTGACTTCATTGAAGTACTGCATGAAAGCTTCCCCGCAAAAAGAAAAAATTCTGACCATGCTCCTGAGCAAATCTACTGGAGGCTTCCAGGACTAGCAGGTGACTAGAGCCTCAGCTTTCAAAGGGGAAATTAGAGAGATATGAAGGTCTTAGTGAAACAAAGCTCTTTTCTTTTGGAGAATTCATGATAGTTTCAAACAACATTAAAACTTAACACAAAAGTCTCCATCCTGACAAAAGTTATCAGCATCTATCACAGGTTTCTCTTTTTACTGTTGTTGGAAGTAAAAGGCTTCCTGGATATCAAGAAACAATCTTTACTCATAGTTAAAGCAGAAGCAGCACTTTCACAATACTATTTCTTCCACAGCCTTGTGCAGAAAAACTGTTTTGTGAACAAAAAAGCCTTAAGGGACAGCTGAGTCACTAGATTTACCTTAGAGCAAAATGGATACTCCATGTGCAGCCTCTCTCTGGAGTTCAGTTAGAAGATGACACAGCATGGCTGAACCTGCTTTTAAAAAACAGCTAGTTAAGAGGCATGCTTATCGGAAGCGGGAAGTGGCATTGTTTTAATACTTATTTTAATGCAGATTTGAAGAGGTATTAAAGGGAAATCTGTAATCTTTTAAAAACAGAAGAATGAAACATGATTTGCTTTCCTGTGGTCTGATGATAAAAGGCAATGAAAGCTGTAAGTACTAAGTGTTGCTCTCCACACATCTAAACACTCTGTAAGCTGCAAATAGGCAAAGTTATTCATTTTAACAGATAAGAAGTGTTTCACTCACTAGGTGCCCAATAGTTTTGAAAGCCTTCACTTTTGGATGCTCAATCAAAACATCCATAGCCATCAACCTGGAATTCTGGGTAATCAGTAGCCTCAAATGGGAGGGAAGAAGGGGGTAGGAGAGACACATACCCTAAATATCTGGAGTTAGATGACCAAAAGTTAGACCACTCAAAATTAGCACACACTTTTTAAAATGCTGGCCTCCACAACTTGACTAGAAGTGAATATTTGCAAAGCAGAGGCACATGCTACAAAATATATGCTATTCAATATATTAGCAGCTGTTTTAGAAGAGCACAGGACCCAATGCAGGGGCAAGAGCCTCCAAATGCAGAAACTGCTAGCTCAGGGGCGGGCAATTATTTCAGGCAAAGGGCTGCTTACTGAGTTTTGGCAAGCCATCAAGGGCCACATGACAGGCAGCCAGGGGCAGCTAAATATTAATTTTCTACATTTTTTAGGGGCTGGATAGAATGGCCTGGCAGGACACATCCAGCCCCTGGGCCACATTTTGCCCGCCCCTGTGCCAGCTAAATGACAAAGCACCACAGAAAGCAGCAGTTAAACAAAGCCAGCCTTTGTATACTGGTTGTCTGACTAGTGCTAACCTGTGAGCAGAAAAAAAAAACCCAACAATTTCTACAATCCTACTTCATATGGCAGTAAACTCATGCAAACACAGGCACATCATAAATATCTTCTGTTCCTGTATTAGTCACCTTTGCTAAAACTTTATCCTTTGCCACACATATAATAGTCATCGTGTCTTGCAAATACCCACAGGATAGCAGCTATACTATGATGCAGCTGCATTGTTATGCACCATTCTCCAATTCTGCTACAAGAACTGCAATTTAACAGGAGCGCAATGGAACAAAGCAATGATCCACTTACTCCAGTACTGCATCTGGAACAGACTGGGGCCAGCTGTTTCAGGGGAGGGAACAAGAAATTCCATGATAGTGAAGTATTAATAACCTTCCCTTAGGAAAAAGTTCTTCTATCAAAGAATCAAATTTAGTTTTCCTGTTCTCCAAGCCTGTTAATGAAAATCAAGTGATTTGTGGGCAAATTGTACCTCCTTCAGATACCTGACGTAGATTTTGGCAGCTCTTGGGTAATCTGCTCTCCCAGCAAAGTAGCACTCAACTGAATAATAAATGTCAGTACATCCTTAACTTACATTAGGATACAGAAAAATAAAGCAAATTCATTCCCAATGTTCAGCTGCTTTCAATAATTGCTCTCCATTAAGTGATTTCTCCAATTCAACTGAGGATCTATCCATACAGATACTGAGCTACAAAACGGTGCTGAAAAAACAAAAATCTTCAGTCATTTAGAACATCCCTTTGAATGCCGAAAGCCAAGGTGGACCAGGAAAGAAAATGCAGTGGAAAAACCATTTAAAAAGATCACCAGTATCAGCAGAAAACCACCCAAGAAGAGCAAGGAAGATAAAAATCCTCCCTGGATATGTCCCTGGCTTGGTGCTTTTGCAGCTGGTACTGAAACAGCTGCGCTGCAAACCGGCAGGATAACAGAAATGTCTTCTGCCTTCCCTCGCCTGCTTGCAAAAGGCCGTGACAGACAGAGCCAAGCAGGTTTGGTACCGACAAGAAGGCTACAAGACATCTCTTGCTATTGGCCAACTGAAATACTGATCTGGATTGGTTGTTTTAGCCTTTGGTCCATGGAGGTCTGTCATTGGTTAATCACAGATTAATTCTGGTTGGCTATTCTCCCCTCATGTTTTCTCACTGCTGCACTCCTTTTAAACTGAAAAAAAAGCCAGACTGTATGGAACTGTAGGTATAGTAGTGATTCCCAGTACAACACGTAGCATGCTTGGAGCCTGGTAACAACAGAACTGTTCTATAACACACAGAAATTAGCAGGAATCAGGGACCAAAATTAACACCTGAATCCTAGCTTTGCTGCATGATTTAACCATATTGAAATATACTGGGGGACAACTATACAGCTGTTAGAAGTCCCCATCATAACTGTTTCATTTAGAACTTTGCCCTAAAGTTATAAAGGATTTTCTTAACCTTAGAACTTATGTAACACAACTGAAAAAACTTAGGTCATAAAAGATGAAAATGTCCTATTCTGTTCCTATCAAGTCAGTAACAGTTCATACTGACTTAACGAAGAGAGGCATCAGGGCATAAATAAACTCAGCGTATGCAATGTAATGCCAAGCCAGTGATTCCAAGTCTGCACCATTGTGACAGCAGTGCTTTGGAAATGCAGACTTCTACAGAGTTGCATTCTGTATTTTTACCAGCACAACACAGGTAAAAATGAGCTTATTTCTTTAAAGAGTCTCTGTTTTCCCTTTTTTGTTTCTTTTGACACCACTACCATCTTCTAGAGCCCACACTGTCAAATCAGAGTTACTGGTCACTTTGAGTCCTCTATCTTAATCTCCCACACTTAAAACCAGGGGTCTTTGATTCCTCCATTTCATTTTCACTTTGCACACAAGCCACGTTTTAAGTCCAATTTTCTTTCAGCATTTTGTAAAGCAGAGCCTTCCTTCTACTCCAAACAGCTGAAGCCTTTTCAAATGTCCCAATCAGCTCTTACTTACTGTTATTTTTGCCCTGCTAGCCGACACTGCACATTTTTAACCCCTCATCGTTTCCCTCCTCCAATAAACCAACTTTAAGTGTCTTCCTCCACCATGTTATGCTGTAGCCATGACAGTCCAGGATGTTTATCTCAAGGATGTCTAGCATTGCTGTATCTCCTACCAAATCCCTTTACACTACCACATGGCGCTGCTTCTAATACATTTCCATGACTTATCTTCTAGAGCAGAGTTCAGCAACCCACACGCAGAGGGAAGTAGGTCCTGTCTGTAGAAACTTTGGACCTGGCCTGCAGAAATGGGACTTCAGCAACACTTGGCTGGTGTGCCTTTTGCAGAGTGGGTCCTTCCAGCCCACTGCCAGAAAAGGTTGCCCACCCCTGTTATAGAGGGCAACCTACCATATAAGATGTTATCTCCATACTGGTTCACAAGGCCATTCCTTTTTGCTCATTCAGATCCCTCTGAAAGCTGCATCTACGTGGCAACATTCACTATTATGGAGTCTAAATTTTTAAAAGCTATATATGCACTTGGACGTTGAACCATTAAAAAGTAATAAATTGAGGAAGCCGATGATCATGTTGCAGTAACCATCCTCCATTTCTCCGTGCCCTCCATCTAATCTTCCTCATCCTACAAGCCTCCTTTTTTCCTCTCTGGTGTGAGGCACTTTATTTGCCTTTAGGGAATGTAAAATTAACAGATATGGACCTATTGAATTCAGAGCAGCTGCCACCTGATTTTGCAGCTCAAGCTCAGCACAAGGCACCATTTTCCCCGTGGAATGTATATAATATATATATATATATAAGATTTATAAAAAACTTGTTATGAAGTGTACAGAAATATTCCTGCAACATGCATATGGAACAAAAAATAACACCACCAAATTTCTAACACACAATAAAATTTTCAAAGGACATGTTTTATTTTAAAACTATGCCAAAAGACATAAGGTCATTATCCAAAATATGAAAGCATTAATATATCTTGAATTCAAAGTCATGATTATTTTATGAAAGTTGTATGCTACCTGATAGTGAATTGAGTTTGGTTTGTTTTGCAGAGGGAACTAAACATTAAATATAACAATGTAAACAGGGCGTTTAATTGCTATTAAGTTATAGCAATTAACTACGTTACAGAATATAAAGTAAAAGGAAGTCCATATGTTGCACTGATTCGTTTCAAGCACTTTTCATACTGATTATTCAGTTTAACTGATTCTTGCAGAGCATGCTTTAAATCTTCTATCTCATCAAAAAACTCCTAAACAAAAAAAAACAAAAGAAAAAGAAATAATCGGCATCCATCCTTTGTTCTTGAGAAACATTTCCCAATAGTAATTGGGAGATTATAGCCACACCTCAAATCATTCCCCTCTTCAAGCACCTGCCCAGAGTGCTTTGCAAGTTACATACATAGGAATGACTTTTGCCACTACTGATATGCAGGGCCAGATAGAGTGAAATGTAGCAATTAGCCACACTACACAACAGTTTACAACTTTATTTTGAGGAGTATCTATCATACAAACTGTTTGCAAGATATTTTTCAAGATTTGCATACAGTAAGAGAAAGAACTATAAATGATACTGGCAGACAGAAATTAAAAGAGAAGCTAAAGACAGAGTGGCAGAAAAATACAAAAAAGCAGTGTTAACATGACATGGAAAAGTTGTCACACAAACCCAACTGCATGGAGGACCAGAGAACACGTAGTGTCAGACAAACAAGCAATTTAGAAAGCAAAGTCTGAAAGGACAGCTGGAACAACTGATGAAGACATTTTATAACCAGAGAGGTTTCAGTAGGACCCTGAAACAAATCCAAAGTAAACAACTTCAAATTTAGGTGCATTTCTCTGAGCCCTTAAAAACTAGAAAGCAAAATTCAACATACCAGACAGCTGAGAACTGATAGGAAGTCCAGAAAGAATGGAGATGTAACAGTGAAGAAAAGGATAAAAGGTAAGAATGAGGAATTTAGCAGTGAAGGAATCCAGATAATCTTCCAATGGTTAAGACAAAATGAATGCCACTTCCAAATTCAGTTACAGAGGAATTACTGGAACAATAAGTGGACTGTAATTACCCAGTAATGAAATGAGTACACCTCAAAATTCTGTAATAAAAATATAATAAAGAAACTTCTTGCAACAGTAGCATATGCTACAGTTGCCTCCATTCTCTTCTTGCATTTTCCATCCTCCTCTGGTTTAACCCTGGTTGCAAGTGCTCTGCAGCAGGGAACCTGTCCATGTTGTAAAATGCCACACATATATTGTGGTACTAAATAAACCACCTATAATAAAATGTAGTGACCAGTAGCTATGACTTCAGATTTGAACAGGACAGCACCTTCAACCTGAGAATAACCCTGTTCCTAAATAAAACATCAGGCTTGGACTCATACTGCTCCAGGGACAGTTCTACAGACAAAACTGGGACCTAAAGAATCATCAGCACCACTTCCTGCTGCACCTGCAATGCTATCAAATTAAACATGTTTAAAGTTAAAGCAGAGGACACATATGCTCTTAGAGGAAACATTCAAGTATACAGAAAACAAGCAAAAGACTTTAATCGCTCTGTAGCTTGTTCTCCTACAACTCTCATGACAACAATTATTAGGATTGTCGTCTGAACAGGGGGAACAATATTCTCTCAAGTGCATTTTAACAAACTACTTTCTGTCCTTGCCTCAGCAGGACATTGACAGTGTCCTCATCACCCTACTTTATTTGCAGCAGTTTAGGGTGTTCCTGTTGTTTATGGTCACTGTGCTTGGTAGTTGTACGAGAGCTGTTCATGCACCAAGAACGGGTTAGACCAGGGGCGTCAACATCACCCAGCTCCTCAAGTTTAGATAGGGAAGACTGCTGTGAGCAGAGGGTTGGACTAGATCAGGGTCAGCAACCTATGGCCCACAGAGCCATCAGATCTGACCCATGGAGCCAGGATGGCTTCAGAGGTGACAGGATTTGCTCACCTTGTGCCACCCTGTGCTATTGCCAGGCAGTGGGGAGCCTTGCTTGTGTTGTGCTGTGGCCAGGCAGCAGGCAGAAGCAGCAGACAGATCTTGGCACTGGCCAGTCTTGGACCAGAGCTGAGAAATCCCAGCCCGCCGCCAGAAAACATTGCGAGTGCCAGACTCAAATGACTTCCCAAGGTCCCTTCCACCTGTTTTCCTCTGATTATGAAAAGCACTACAATTAACTGTGAGCCCAATACCCTTGAATGTCATACAAAGAGAGTACTCTACAAGCATCTCAGTTCCACAGCACTGAAATAAAACCTGTCCTCCCAATGAAAGAACCCAGCTGTACTAATTAAAATAAAAATGAATAACAAAACAAAAAGGGTAAAAAGCAAATGCTTTTTGTTTTCAGAAAAAGTAATGTACACATACACACAGCTGACTCAGCTGGACAGATTCAGCCTTTTAACTTGTATTGTCCCATATCCAGAAACAGTAACTCTTCACATTAACATCCAGTGCCTCAAATACATATGCCCAAGCAAAAAAGGCAGCCAAAGAGTCCTGCTCCAGAAGTAACTTGGATAAACTATAGCAAAAAAAATTCGCCTCTTACCAAGATCATAAAGAAAACATGCACCTGAATACTACGTTGAACAAGCATGTTTTCAAGGGTTGTTGATCTACATTCCTTTTTTGAAATGCTATCAGGCGACTAGACATAGAAATCTGTTTTCACAATGCCACATGTTTAATCTACAGCTAAATTTCAACTCACACTGGGAATATTTATCTTCTGAAGTTTATTCAAGCAAGTTACCTTGTCTAGCCCAGCTAATTCATTTCTGAGCACTCTCCTTTCTGTAGACAACTTTTCATTTTCTTTCTTCAGCTTCTGAATTTCAAATAGTAATATATCTATATTCAAATTTAAAAATTCATATTTTAATTATTACAATCATCCTCTTTGCATCCAAGTTATATTATACCTAGAGTTTCCAGCATTTGGTATGACTTCAAGAAAATTATGCCTCAGTATTTTAAAAAGGTTTAAATGATTTGCCTTTAAAAATTGGTCCCATATCTTTCTAGCACCATGATAAATCATAAGAACTTACCAGTCAGATTTTATATATGTAAGTTTTACACAAGTCAATTCTGAAAACTGTTTGTTACCATTTGATCCTAAAACAAAAAAAAAAACCTACATATGCAATTGAAAGACTTTGGCAGAGGGGAGAAGGGGAGAGGGAAAGGGTCACATGATGTACCAGATTAACTATTACCAGGTAAGGATTTTCTTTAGAATCACAGTGTGGTCTTGGATTTTGACAAAAATCTTGAGGTCACAGTAGATTGGGCATATGCACCTCCCTGTACACCTCGCTTTAAAGTCTGGCTCTACTCAAAAAAAACCCAGTCATAAACAAATGGTATCACAGGATTCTGGATTTAATCTGGAAGGGCTTCTGGTATTGTTTTAAATACAATTAGATTGTCTCATGCATCACCTCCAAAAAAAAAAACGAGCATCTTAACAGCTCTCCATATATTTTCCCAAGCTCGTATCTGAGCAAAATTATTTAAAAAAAACCCCCACTAAACAACAAGAACAGAAGCAATACTTATTTTTTCACTAAAATATAAGAACCATCTATATGGTGTTGGGGCATGGGGTGGTGTCAAATAAAGAGACGGTGCCATTTTTACAAAGTCATTTCCCAAAGCTGAACTGTATTTGCGATACTAAATAATAAAATAAACAGGTGGAGGCGGTACACATGCACTAAGATGAAATCTACCACTCCAAATGTTTTCTACAGCAGAACCAACCACATAATTATTACCTATGTATTTGCAGGAACAACCTCCCATCTTTTTGCATATGCATCTACGAGATGTCACTTCTCCCTCTGCAGTTGCAGTCCTTTTTCCAGAAATACTGCTATCTTTTTTAGCAATCTTTTTAAATTCTAGCTGCTCAATTCTTTGTTTTTGCCCTTGAAGTTGTTGTTCTAGCTCATTAATTTTAACCTGTTAAAAAACTAGAAAATTAAGAAGTCGTGTACAAAAAGCAAATAGGTCTCAACTTAATACAGTCAAACCTGCATTCTGAGTTCAAATGTAGTGATCCCAAAGTGATGTAAAATAGGTTTTTTAAAGTAACAGTTTCAAGAAAAGATAAATAATTTTAAAATTAATTTGTCTGTGCTTATAACTTTTCTGCAAAAATATATGCTAATAAAGGATACCAAATCATCTCTCCAAAAAATATATATCTATTTTGTGGCTACTGTAAACCAGCTAACATACTCTACTTTGAAAACAATGAGTTCCGTGCTGCTGATCTATCAGAATATAGAGGTGTTTATGCCAAAATTAGGCAAGTTTTTAGTTTTTCTAGTTTAGTGCATAATAACTAACATAAATTATTTGACATAAATCTGAAAGTTGTCATACTTACTGTGAGATTTCTAATTGTTTCACTTTGTTCCTGGTTTCTTTTTATTTCTTTATCATAATGCTTCTGTAGATTATTATACATCTGAAGTAGTCTGAGAACAGAAGTATGTGAATTGCTAGTTAAACAATTAAGACTACCATCCTACTCTTTAATGACTAACATCCTTTAAAAATAAAGGCCTGCTTACTATTAGTTACATTTCAGCTTTGGACTGTAGCTATATTTCATACCACTAGCCCTGCATAGCAGGACCACAAATTACTAAGAATTATACAAAAATAACATGCAGTTATTTTTCTGCATGATAACCCTGAGATGGTCAATAATTCTTCAGAATCCTCATAATTGTATGTAATTAAGTGAGTAACATATATCCTTTATAGAAAGTTAAAAAAACAAAACCATTTAGGTAGAAAAAAAATGTTTAAATACATGTACAGTAGATACTTAAACAAACCGTCTCTTACAAGTTAAAGAACAGTCATCATTTAAATGTCATCCTATAAACTCTTAGTTAATAGGTACACTATCTTCATGGATTAGTATCTAATCCACAGGTCTAAGACTTCTTCAGACTTTGGAATGGTGTTTTAGTGACCATAAAGTGTGACCAGTTATAGAGAGAACCCTTCCTTCTCTGAAAGGTACACTTGGGTAAAACCACAATGTTCCTAAGAAGTTGTACCCAAGACTTTTTTTTTTAAGGTTTTCTTAAAAATAAAACTTTTATTTAGGTCAAGATACGTAATGAGGGAGGTACTTGACCAAGATTTTAATAAATCAAGTAAAACTTTTCAGAGATAGTTAATTACCTGAAGTTAAAAAGACAAAATGGTAAACATTAAGTGTGAGTTATGATTTTATTTTTGACCATTTGCTTATAAATCAAAATAAAATACAACACATACATGTGGTCATTTCACCTAACAAGATTAGTGCAATAAGGCAACAGAAGGATAAGTACTATACACACAGATACTTCTGTAATGAGGATAACAATGAACTATTATTCAAAAGGATGAGTTAGAAACAGTTAAATGAACCTGTTGTTTTTTTTAAGTTCTGAGTAAATAAGCCATTTATTACCAAGAGCCTTAACTATAATATACAAAACTGATCCATGCAAGTCAGGGAGTTTATGTGGAATAAATTCCCTCCAGAGGTGGTGCAGTCATGTACCCTGGAGGTTTTCAAGAGGAAACTAGACAGTCACCTCATTGGGGTCACCTAACCCCAGGTGTCTTCCTGTCTAGAGCGGGGGGGGCTGGACCCAATGATCTCTGAGGTCCCTTTCAGCCCCTTCCAATCTATGAATCTCTGAATCAGTGAAAGGAATGTTCTTATTTAAAAAGAATCTCTTTGATATTAATAAACCTTGAAATCTTTTATCACTTAGGCAAAGCATTGGTAACTTTTCAGATTATTGACAATGACTGTTCCACAAGATGTAAACACTTGAGTCTCTGATTTGACTGAAAACCACTACAAGACTCCTATTCTGCAACTGACAGCTGATAAACTACCATATTCATGAAAAGTACTGATGAATTTAATAATGTGACTATACTGTACAAGCAAAGAAGTCTAGATACACAATGGATATGTGTCTACACTGCAGAACGCGGTATGGTATAAAGAGACCTCAGCTAGCTCAAATGCAGGAAGCAGTCTAGCCGCGACACAGATCTCCATGCAAATTAATCTACTCTGCTTCTCCCTGCATTGCAATAGGTAGACTGCTTCCAGCATCCAAGTTAGCTTTTAGCAAGCTAATTCAGGTATCTTTATACTACAGTGAGCACCACAGACATACCAGTATAAGATAGAAAGACTCCTTAAATATACACCAAGTACAGCAAAAGCTAGTTATGAGAGTCTGCAACCTCCATAATTCACAAATGTCAATGAACTGACTAGTTTAACACAGGACTCCATTATCCTGGCAGCTGCACAGCACGTATAGGCTAGCTTTTTTTCTAGTGAAGAGAACAGCTTCCCCACTTAAAACATCCACCCCAATTTTGGAGAGCTGATTTTTGGGGGAAAGGTGAATGTTGCATGTGAGAAAATACAGTATATCCTACCTGAAAGAGGTAAATCACAACCCCTCCACCACAAACTAAGCTAGTTCTAGCAAGAAGGAACACACTCCACTAACTCTCAGAGAGATTTACCAAAATAACTTACCTAGCACTTTCCCCTGCCCGTCTGAGTTCCTTTTTGGGAATGTCACTCATCGTGTGCCATAAGTAGGCTTCTGTTTGAACCTGAACACTTAATTGAAATAAATACTACAGCTTAATGTAAACCAATGTAAACAGCTTTCAGAACAGTAAAGAGATGTGTCAGAATGGCTGCAGATAAATAAAGTAGTAACTTGTCCATATTTTTCATTCAGCATTGAAAGTCTTGCTACACGTTCTGTACAAAGATGTGTGGAAACCTATCTGGGTCCTTTTCAAAATAAAGAGAAGGGAAAAAAGTATCTTCTGAAGTCTACATTTCAAAACACTTTAAGTAGCACTAATGCTTTCAAATATGCCATATTTTGGTCTCTTATACAGTATTTATTATTCATTATCAAGATACTCTAAAACATTTTAGACCAAGTCAAACCCTGGGTAGAACACCCACTAAGTAAGCAAAAGCACAAGTCATCAGCATATAGACTTGTTTTGCTTGAAATACAACTTTGGTCCAGGGCAAAGGGTTAGTTTTATCACAGGTCTCAAGACCTTTATCCTAAGGCAAAGTACTGCATGGCACTGTCACCCCTACTACAAGCAGTCTCAATGTGAGATTTGAACCCATTACTTTCTGTTTTAAACTAATCAGTCTTACTCTCTGCTTGTGACATAGTCATGCATTAACTGCTGCAGATGTAATTTCTCCTGAATCTGAGCCAAATCACTTTCTAGCTGTTTATTTTTCCTGTGCAGCCTTTTCAGCTTCTTAAGTAGTTGTTCATTTTCATCACTGAGCTGGAAAGTAAGAAAGAGATATTTCACCAAATAGAATGTTTAAGATACTGCATTAGCATGGGCTAACATTTATCTTCATAAACATTAATACACTTATCTTTGGTTATTCACATATATAAAGCAAGACACCTGGAAAAGCTGTTGGTTTCATAATATTTGTGTAAACCTAAACACAAATGCCTTGAGACACATACCAAAAGGTACTCTCTTCTGTACAGATCAGTGAATCAGTATCAGTGGGTGCATCTACACATTCATTAATGCACCTTTGTTACTGCATGTTAAGTTTAGTACCTCTAATATGAGGTACTAAAGGCATAGTAGCTGCACTTATGCACAGTAGCTAGGGCAAACTTTTCTTTGTGAAGCTTAATATGCTGTAGACTAATCCTACTGCGCATTAGCACGTTAGCACAGTTTTTGCCATGATGCACTAATGTGCAGTAGAACAGTCTACTGTGCATTAAGCCGTCTCATGTAAACGTACCCAGTTGCTCTTAGTTTGTCACCAGGTTAAATGTATTTGTATATAAAACGACAGGGTAGGAACAAAGCACACGTGCTGTTAAGCTATGCTACCAAATCTAGAGCCCAGCTCTGCCAAAAGGCATAAAGATACTCTTATGCTTAATCAGTTCCAATGAAGGTCTGCCGAATTAAAATTGTCACATAGATTTACATTACTTCCTGCAGAATACTACAATACTGTTATACGTGATTCACATGCAATTTAGTTGACCCAGTCATATGTTCCCAAAACTTTAAAGTCAAGTCTTTTGCTTAGTCTAACATTAAATACAGGAGACATTAGATTTACTCCTGTGAACACTTCTGTTGAGTAAATTTACATACAAGTATTGCCACTGTACTTGGATTCCTCAAACAAATTAAGTTAAACACCGCATAAGTGTTCAGAGACTTGTCACACATTTTAAAAACAAAAAACTAAGTTCAATGCAGCTTGTTTCTTCCATTGCTACCCAAATGGTACAAACTTGACATCAGGCCTGTATGATACACATAACACCATACATTTTCTCTTCTAGTCAGCCTATTTGCCGTACTGATTGTCAGTGAACTAGGCCCACCACAAAATCTGTAAGCCTCCCTCAGGCCACAAGGCCACTAAGAACACACCAGCAGATTCTGAGAGATAACAAAAGTTAAAACGGGTGGGAGTGTGGGCCAAATTTTATTAATGCATGCTCCAGAAGAGGAATGCAAGCGGAGCCCACCAGCCAGTGTCCAGTAACCCTTGAACAAGTCCAAGGAGCCAGTGGACACTGCCCAGTGAAACTATGCCTGGAAACGTGAATGGATGAGGGAATGGAAGACGCCCAACAGTCCCTGGGCATCCCCCCAGCCAGAGCCTCTGTCCTAGTCAGGTAGATGGCTAGCTAAGGGCCTCTTCAATTCAGTAAGCCACCAACTTCGGAAGCTGGAAACAAGCCAGAGATGAGGAGAGCAAGAAAATAAACCCTAATAAGAGGCATATTTTTGTCTTACAAGACAACAGATGTGCATGGTGAGGCATCAGCTGGTTGAACATCTATGACTGTGGCTGTAGAGCCCAATTCTTGAATGACAGTCCTTTCTACACTTATCACACGTGAAGGTCAGCTTGGGTCGGGTAAATTATTACTGTAATTTACAGTAGACAGTACTACCTGAGGCTGTCAATGCATAGTGCTAGGCAGCAGTTACATAACATGGCAATCTCTAGGATGCCAATGGCTTTGGGCACAAAAGCAATTTAGAGGGGGATACTAGTCTCAACCCTGGTGGAGGAAATGCCACCAAAAGGTTGTGGAATCACTAGTAATAGATCATAATAAATACTACCAACATCACTACTGTCATTATGATTATGATTTATGATGATCATAATCATCCACTCATATAAGAGCCAGGAGACACTGGTGGAAAAACTATTAGCATATTATCCTCCACATCAGTGGTTCTCAGTCCTTCTTGACTGCAGGCACCACTCCTTAGACCAGCAATTCCCAACCTTTTTTGGACTGGCGGCACCCCTCCCTAACATCTGTGAGCAGCACCATACCTAGACTCCTAGCGGCCCCAGGCCAACTTTTAGTATCAGGCCGCCCTCGGCCATATAATAATAATAATAATCAAAAAATTACCGTTTTCAGGCCCCCTTTCTATCCAGGCCACAGGTAGCCACCCGGTTCACCCATGCCCGTCTGGCCCTGCCTGTGAGCCCAGTGGCACCCAAGTTCAAACATTAGTGTATGTACAATGGTGCTGGCAGAAAAGCCAGGCAGTGGGAGTGGGGGGGAAATCAAGCCTGAGCTTGTGATCATAGCTTATCTCCTCACAACCCCTACAAAGGATGCACCAGCAAACAGGGGGCCTGGAGACTCAGCCACAACCTACAGGAAGGGCCACCCCTCGCTTCCACTGGGGAAGCATGGGCGCAATACACACCAGGCACATGATCCCGGCGCACTCCTGCTAGAGGCTGATCTTGCCAAGGACACAAGCTGTTGTGTGCAGCCCCGTGCCACACGCCCTGGCCCGCGGGCCGCAGCACGAATTGAGCCTGCAAGCAGCCGCGGTCCCACAGGCCAGGTGGGCCGGGGCTAAATCCACCGAGGGCACCGAGGGACGCTGTGACGTAACTGGTGACTGGCCAATCCTCGGGAGGGGCGACTGCGCCCGTTTCCCACCCGCAGGGCCCCGCCCCCACTCACTTGCAGACACTTGTGCACGGCGGGTAGCGCCATTGATAGGCGGGGCGGGGCAGTAGCCCCGACAACGAGTAGGTGACCGAAGTAAGCGAAAGAGCCGTGCGCAGACCCTCGTTTTCAAACCTCTCTCGCGGTGCTACCGGTCGCCATAAGGACCCCGGGCCCAGCTGCGCCGCGCGGCGCCAGCCTTCCCGCGCGCTTGGGACAGGCAGACACAGAAGTCAACTAACCGCCACCCCGCCTGCTCGTAGAAGGATGACGTCATTAACAGGCGACCGCTCCACGACAAGGCCCCCTCCTTGGCGCTGGTTGCCACGGAAACGAGAGCACACCCCCCCGCATCCCGGCCCGGGAAGTGGCGCGGGGGGGGCGTACGCTGTGAGCGTCACAGAGGCTCCGCCCCCTTCTGTCGGCGTCTTAGAAGGTTGTGCCCCTAACCTGCCTCCGTTCTCAGTGTAGGCGACGTCTGTGTATATGCGCGCGTACGCACGCGCACACACACACACACACACACACTCTCTCTCTAAGGTGTTATAGATAGAAGGTACAGACAGATATGTCTATATATATATATCTGTGTGTATTCACACACATATATAGACACTATACCATCTTACCATATATATACACACACATACATACACGCATGCACCATTTTATATATCTGTATATCTATCTATATATACCATCTTCCCATTCTATCTATCTATCTATCTATCTATCTATCTCTATAACAGGAAAGGAAAATTGTACAGAAGTGACTGCAAGTCAAGCCAGGAGTTCCCGAAGACATGTATCAGTCACTGGAGGGGCCGTGGTGGTGCTGGCACTGCGGTGCAGGGTTGACAGCCTAGGGGCCACCAGCTCAAGGCCCTGGCAGAAGCACTGCTGGTCGCCTCTCAGGTTCCAATGAAGCTGTGAATTCTGCTAAGCACTTTGTTGCAAGGCCTTGAAAAGAAGAAAGGAAGTGTATGCCGCATGGGATGTGCTCCCTGCTGCTTCACAATCACCGCCCACCGTGTGGGTGCTAGAGCTGTGTTGAGCCCCCATTGCTGCTAGACTGCAGGGGGAGGCTGGATGCGGAGGGTCTCAACAGCTTGACAGTAATGCAGAGGGCGAGGGGCATCATCCCCTATAAAGCACAACACATTTTTCCCCCATTCCTAGAAACTAGAAGCTTTATTAAACCACTAGGGACCTGAGGCACTAGGATTCGGTTTCACAGAGGAGCCAAAAAGGTAAATGAGCATTCTTTCATTGGCATGAGTTAAAAACAGTTGGGAACGGGGGTGGGCTGTGAAATAGGAACTCCATTATCAGGATCAACCAAGGGGCAGCAGCCTGGGAGAACCAGTGAAACATCAAGACCCTTACAAAAAAAGAACAGGGTCCTTCACACCAGGTGGAATGAAGAATTGAGAAGGGATCAGGTAAATGACCATGAGCCACGAAGTCAGGCAACTCCCTCAGGACTGCCTGGCTGGAAACACTGCTGCCGCTGCTGGACAGTTGGTTTTAAACTTTGGGTGGATTGGGGATCAAAGGGGTGGGGGGCAAGTGCACCAGTGCACACCTTCCCTTGGCTGTACTGCTGGTTGTAGATAGCCACATGCTGCTAGCACTGTTAGATGTGAGAACACGAATCATCGTCTAACTCCATAGTTTTCACACAGGAATCCGTACTGTTAAACATATTCCAACCTGTTGTGAGCTTTCTGAATTCTCTGCAGTGGAAGACTGGCTCCATTATTTTTCTGTAGTAAAAAAAAAGAGAGTAAAAACTAAGAGCTGGCATTTTCCAAGGGGGCCTCAAGTCTAAAAATGGTTGCGAACCACTGTATTAGGCCATTGGACTAGAATAGAAGGGGCCGGCTAACTTGCAGCACACATGCCACAAATGGCAGGGGCAGCCTGTGTGGTGGAGCAGCACAGCAACAGATAGGGCAGGAGGCAGAAAGCAGAGCAGCAGATGGGGAAGGGAGCGCAAGGCAGGGAACAGAACAGCAGATCAGGCAGAGGAAGCAGACTGAAGTGACATTCAGCGAGGGTGTGGTGCTAATTTGTGAGATGCCTGCCTAAAAGGTTTTTATAGATTGTAAGGCTGGAAGGGACCTCGGAAGATCATTGGGTCCAGCCCCCTGCACCAGGCAGGAAAGACAACTGGGGTCAAGTGATCCCATCAAGGTGACCATCCAGTCTCCTCTCGAAGATTTCCAGGGTAGGCAATTGCACCACCTCTGGAGGGAGCCTATTCCACAATCTGGACACCCTGGCTGTGAAGACGTTTTCCTTAATGTTGAGCCTGAAACATTCTTCCAGAAGTTTATGGCCATTACTCCTGGTTATCCCCGAGGGTGATCTGGCGAACAGTTGTTCACCGAGCCCTTCATGTACGCCCCTGATATAGTGGTAAGCTCCTATCAAGTCCTCTCTCAGCCTTCTCTTTTTCAGGCTGAAGAGTACCAGTCCCCCTCAGCCTTTCCTCATCTGGCTTGCCGTGCAAGTTTCTGATCATATGGGTGGCTCTTCTCTGGACTCTCTCGAGCTTTACCACATCCTTGTTGAAGTGCAGTGCCCAAAACTGGACACAGTATTCCAGTTGAGGTCTCACCAGTGCTGAGTAGACTGGAAGAATCACTTCCCTAGTTTTGCTGGAGATGCACCAATTGGTGCATGCCAGGGTATTATTTGCCCTGTTGGCTACAGCATCACACTGCTGGCTCATGTTCATACTGTGGTCTGTTTTTACCCCCAAGTGCCGATCATTCATGGTGCTGGTCAGTTTGGCGTTGCCAAGCCTGTAGGTACGTAAAGGTTTTTTGTCCCCAGATAGAGCGCTTTACACTACTCAATGTTGAACTTCATTTGATTCTGATCCACCCAACTTGCCAGCCTGTCTAGGTCTGCCTGTATCTGCAGCCTATTTTCAAGCATGACCATGCTTCCCCATAACTTGGTGTCATCTGTGAACTTGGCCAGTGATCTCTTCACCCCCACATCCAAATCATTGATAAAGATGTTGAAAAGCACTGGACCAAGCACCATCCCCTGAGGGTCACCACTGGCCACTTCTCGCCACAAAGGTTATCCTCCACTGGAAAATAGCATCAGCATCTTGCAGCTGTTTTAGTCCAGCTATATTTTGGGATTTAGCCAGCACTGGGGCACACCTGGGTGATTTTAGTTCACTGTGCAGCTATCCAGCATGCTCACTAGGGTTGTAAGCTGAACTGCAAACTGTGCTTAAGTGCCAAAACTTGATCTTAGATACATTCAGGCATATGCAATGAAATAGGATTTGGTCCTAGGTCTGCTTATCTTAGACAGGAGACAGGTAAGAAGGCATGAAATAAAAAATATGCAGGCTGGGTGATATGCAGATCATATGGGGGGAAAAACATTAGTCCTTTTTCAAATAAGAGCAAGCGGAAATTTATTTCAACTGAAAACTGGAAAGCTAAAATTTGGTCAAAGGAAATCATGTTTTGTAATTTAAATTAGACTGTGGAACTGTTCAACAAGGACAAGTGCAAAGTCTGTCACTTAGGATGAAACAATCCCATGCACTGGTACAGGCTTGAGACCAACTGGCTAAACAGTAGCTCTGCAGACAAGGACCTGGGGTTACAGTGGACAATAAGCTGCATATGAATCAACGGTGTGCCCTTATTACCAAAAAAGCTAACAGCAGACTGGGCTGCATTAGTAAACAGTTGCCAGCAGATCGAGACAAGAAATGATTCCCCTCTATTCCGCACTGGTGAGGTCACATCTGGAGTACTGTGTCCAGTTTTGGACCCCCCATGACAAAAAGGCTGTGGACAAATTAGAGAGTTCATCAGAGGGCAAGGAAAATTGTTTGGTGGCTCAGGTACATGACTTCTGAGGAGAGGCTGAAGGAACTGGGCTTATTTAGTCTGGAGAAGAGAAGACTGATGGGGGATTTGATAGCACTCTTTAACTACCTGAAGGGTGGTTCTGAAGAGGATTATTCTCAGTGGCAACAGCTGACAGAACAAGGAGAAATGGTCTCAAGTTGCAGCAAAAGAGATTTAGGCTGGATATTAGGAAAAACTTTCTCAGTAGGAGGGTGGTGAAGCACTGGGACACGTTGCCCAGAGAGGCAGTGGAAATCTCCATTCTTGGAGGTTTTTAAGGTCTGGATTAATAAAGCCGTGGCTGGAATGATCTAGCTGGGGATGATCCTGCTTTGAGCAGGAGGTTGGACTAGATGCCCTCCTGAGGTCCCTTCCAACCCTAATTTTCTGTGATTCTGTGATTCCATTAACTCACTGTGTTGCTAGAGACAATAATTCAAAGGGACCTTTCCATTGCCTCAAATATAGCAGGATTGCTTTGTTTTGTATTGTTTTTATGAAAATTCTGCACTGAAGAATTTACACAAAATTATCATCTCTCAGGCAGAAGAAATAACATATTATATCTGTCATGCAAAGTGTGTCCCTTTATTGTGTGTGCCTGTTATTACCTTTAAAGAAAGATAGAATTAAAATATATGATGAGAACTCCATGAAGAGGGTGAGTAGTGCCATCTAGATATTGAAAGGGAGTACTGAAAGGGAGTACCTTAGCATTCTAAAGAGTCTGACTATTATGTCATTATAAATAACTTTTTTTTTATTTCAGAGGGTTAGATATTTTTAAATGTGGTGTACTGGTGGCATGTAGTATTAATAAGGAAGGACCAAATCAGGCTCTTAGGTCATGTGGTGCAGATCCTCTGTCTGCAGATCTTTCTAATCCCACAAGCTGCTTCAAGTGCTCCATTCCACCTTTCCTAGAACTCTAGGAGGGTCTCCAGGGTCCTGCATTTCATTAATGGAAAGAGACAAGGAATAAGCAGGCTGTAGAAAGCCCTGCATTAACTGGGTAGCCCAGAAAAAAATAACTTCTCTTTCTGTTACCCTAAATCAATTGAGTATTTGCAAAAGACAGCATTAGCCTGGGACTGTATCATCTTGTTCACAGGTCTCTCTGTAAAAGAAAACCATCAGGAAAAGTCCACTTGAAGCACCATGACAAAGAAGTGGAAAACTCAGTAGAAGCAGAGGTACAGTGTTCTGAAGACTCCTACCAGGGGAGGCACCATGATGATGGTGTTGGTCCAGGTAGTTTTCCTATATCTGGAGGGGAAGATCCCCCTTTTCCTGACTTTGAATGACTTGATGTAGTTGAGGGTGGAGACCTATCCATTGTACCGCAGGTAGACACCCGTACAAGAATCTATTATAACCTCCCAATGGGAGGATCTCGGTTACAGATTTTATGGTGATGGGGGATTGCTCCTGGCTTTCGCTCTAGCTTGCTCCT